AAATTATGTAAATTCGAACACATAAATTAAAAAAAAGTAGCCTATAGCAGTCTCATAAGTTCAAGCTATACATATACCAAATTTCCTCACAATCGGTTCAGCGGTTTAGGCGTGAAGAGAAGACAAACAAACAAACACACTTTCCCATTTATAATATTAATATAAAATTAATAATATAAATATAATATATATATATAGTATATAGTATGGATAGGAGCACTTAAAACGTACACAGGCTCCTGATATTGTAGTTTTGGGGTAACGACGGGTAAATACGGATCCCTAAACTGCGAGTTGTCGCACTTGGGCGGTTTTTTATTATTATTCTGTATACTTTCGATGGACTTCCGTTAAGCTATCTGACAAAATAATGTTTCAAGTCCAAAATGACACCCGTAAATGAAACAAATGACAAATAATAACATATTTATACATTAATTTTTATTCCATTCGCGTTTACTATGCGTACCAAATTTATTACAAGAACAAATTAAGTGCCTAGTTACCTAGTATATTAACTAATTATAATCTGCCGACAAGATTTTACATTACATACGGCAAAAAATATACTCTTCCTCTTATCAAAATGTTGTAATAGGTAATGCCTACTTAACACGTGTAATAAACATTTATTCAGTAAATTTTATGCTAATGTATATACAACATGAGCAAATCATTTTCCAACTTCTTTCATGATTGATACTAGTGAGTAGGTACCTATTGTTAGTTATTTGAGTGAGTGTAAATAGTTGTTCAATAATAATTGGAGAGACCTAATAGGGATGATGACGTCATAAATCGTCTTTTATCTAGAATCTAGAACAAAAATAAAAAAACAAAGCGCGTCAAAATTTAGGAGTGGAGGCTCAAAACGTCACTAATAAGTAAAAATTGTACCAAAACACGACGTCCTGCGACATTTCAAATTAATATATCTCTGTAATGTTTTGATTATGTAAAAATAGAAAAACATGTGTCCAATACTTTTTGATAATCTTCCTGGTAGACGAAGAAAAAAGTTATCACCCCTATTTTCCTACTTTTACTCCTAATACTAAGGAAAAAGTTGGGCTTATGCCTTATTAACACTTCTTTAGAAAATTTATTGACATTTGATTATTGAAGTGACAGTATGACATGTTTAAATAGTTTTTGCCCAAATTATTGACATTTGATTATTTAATTGAAAGTATTGACAAATTATCAAATGGGCAAATACCCAAAATATTGATTATTTAATTGAAAGTATTGACATATTATCTAAAGTATGTGCCCAATTAATTAACACTTAATTATTGTATTGACAGTATTGACATCTTAATTTTGTAAATTGAATCTCAGAATAATGATTAAGAATATCAGTAATAATTAATTTTAATGCTAATATTGGCACGACATGTACTCATCTAATTATCACATCAACTAGCTTACACATGTTGCTACAAATAAATTTTCCTTTTTTTTTCTTTCTATATACTAAAGATGTTAATGCCCTAAGGAAGCTTGGTGGTAACTCGTCACCGAACTAAAATGGGCTTCCGAACCAATCCGTATCCGTTGATAAACTTTTGATTCCAATTACTTAAAATAGTATAATCTGAGGTATGTCTATGTAGTTCTCGTCTGAAACCTGGACCGAGTGTTTTTTTTTCTAGTGATATTTTCTTTAGATTTCAACTTCTAGTAGTTTAACGCTTAAAATAAGAAATATAATAATGTCTATGAAAATCCAGTCCGTATCGATTTAATAAAACACTTTTCTCATTCTCGATATTTATGGAGAATTAGTGGCAATTTCAGTGACATTTTCTCAAATTTCTTCAAGTTCACAGTATTTTTTGTCTTTTCAAGATACATATCAAATAACTTTACCGACTCGTACGTGACGACTCTGGCTATGTAAAAGACATATGAAAGATTTTTACTATTATAATCATATTACCGTAAGTTTAGGGTGTCAAAAACGAATACCTAAAGTTCAAGTACTTTACAATCACTTTAGTCAAAGCAAACAAACTGAAAACATGCTACGTTGTCCTTGAAGTATGTATGTTGTTGTGTCTAATCCTACTAATATTAAAAATGTGAAAACTTTAATGTTTGTAACTCAATCGAGCAAAAAACGGCTGAATGAATTTGGTTGATATTTGACACACATAGGTATAGTTTGGGTGGAGACAAAAGATATTTTTTGCCCGTGATCTCACAAGATTGCAAAAAAAATAATTATAAAGCGGACAAAGTCGCGGGCGGAAACTTGTGAGTTTTAATCGCTAGCTAATGGTAGTCCTTCATATTTAATCATAAAATCTTACACTTCTTCCTTATTATTTATAATACAAAGTCCACTATATTCTCGTCTCACCACTCGGCTAGCTAAACATTAGATAAGCTAATTTACCAAGGTCGAAATACATTGCATTATAATAATATAAATAATAACTCAAGCCAAGTTCTTTTAGGCGATGTTGGTATTATTTTGGACACAAACACGTATTTCGTATAATCATTTTTATTTTACACGACACCCAAAAAAGGAGTGTATATAATGTTTGCAGGGTTTGTCCTTAATTTTTGTGCGTTCCATTATTACACCAACACTTCTAAATGCCTGAATAGCCATAAGGTATTGTAAGAATCCTAACTTACATCACTCCGTGTGATGAAGACTTTAAATGGCGGGTAGGGCACAATATTTTAAACTTATTCTTCGTTTATTATGATTCGATATAAGATTTTGGGACAAAAAGCAAAAAAAAAACAGAAATGCAAAATTTGAGAACTTGACTAGCGTGTCAAAAATCGATTTGGAAAGTTGAAAATAATTTCATAAAAGTAAAGTAGTCATCGCGGTACGCCTTGATGATGTGGAACATCAAAACATTATGCATGTGAAATGAAATATGTCATGAAATAAAAAAAAATATATGTTGGCGTGCCTTGTTGCAAAAGCTTGTGCAAATCACTCTGAATGACCATTAAACCAACGGAACTCTTGCAGCTGCTGACCAAATTTTGGTGTAAGCATTTAGCTCACTGCTGTTCTTGTAGGTATTGGCCATAGATCCTTACCACTCAGCAGCCCTCTCACGCCAGCCATAATTGATGTTTCGCGATAAAAAGAAGTTTTACATAAAGATATTTTCGATCTTTTCTGGCGGTGCAGTCGTCACTTTTTTTTACTATAAAAAGCTTTAAAGCTTCGGGTTGAGATATCTCCTTAATTATAAGGTGTAACTAAACACATTCTCTTGCATTTTCATGGCATCGCTTAAAATAGTGCATCGTTAGTAGCAGATCACCAACAATGGTGTAGTTTGAGTAAAGTTTGCACAATAATACTGACCATTAGAATTTTCTGAACATTAATGAAAGAAAGAATCAAAATTGGGAGGCGCGCGCATTGCTTTATTCTGAGTTTTCGGTTTTTTTTATTTCCTCGCTTATATCTCTATGTATACTTCGAAAGAAAGTGCATTCTTGTTAATCGGTCACTTTCTCCTCACGATGAACAATCTATTATTCTGAAACATGGCTATGGTCTTATCTCGAATATATTAAGATCGCGCAAGTGCATTTTAGACCAACATTATAAATAACTGATGCTATACTTTTAGCGTTCTGCTGCGCTTATACTATACCCATTGCTAATAGTAAGTAATTAGTCCAATTAAGTAGTATGAGATACCGTGGCCTACAGGTATATTTCAAAAGGTTTTACGCAACAGCACAATTGCGATGGATGCGCTTGTCACGCTAGCTATACTATGTATTTCCTTGTTTAGCACTATCGAATTCAGACTATATTAATCCGTCCGGTACGTTTTGCCTGACTACCTAAAACATGAATTTTAAATTTAATGTCTTGTAATATAATTCGTGAATTGACCAGTTTTGTCCAGACCAGAATTGTCGACAAGATACTTTTAAAATATTCTCAAATAAAATTGAAACTTCATAACTGCACTTACCATACTTACCGCGAACATAATTTCTCTCTAATAAAAGAGGCACGAAGAAGTATTTTACAGATCAAATAAATATGCAATGTGATAAAAGATGATAGTTACAGCAGTTAAAACTGCGGCAGTCATTTCCATTCTGTACTCTACCATCATTTTGACCCGGTGGGATGTGGTTAATTTACTTGTGTACGTTTTGCTCTATGGTTTTGATAAATTCATAAAAAAATACTGACCCTTAACGCTACATTTGACATTCGGTTGGCCTAAGCATTCACACGCGATAGGCTCCCACTCGCAGTGCCAACCCATTGCCTACAACAGTTACTGAATCTAGGTAGATTTTTAATTTCACTCGGAAAACAAACCATTCGGCGCATTCTGTTTTTCTCTACCTCCCATCCACCACTGTAGTAGATTATAAATTATATTATGTGCGTTTAGTGATAACGAGTATTTTATTTATACTTATTAAGTTAAAATTATTGAACTGGTTTCACAAGCCGGATTCGGATCGGTGACCTCTTACACAATAGCTATTATGATAATAATAATAATTGATAGAGCAGTTTGCCAAAAAATACTAAGTGTGTAAAGTGCTCTATCGTTATTATAATTTCTAAACGACATTTGTAAAATATAATGATAATTAAATACATGGAAAAAGTCTCGTATTCCCTCGCGTATAAAAAATGAATATCCCCACTTTTCGTCTAGTTTTCTGACTGACTTTAAGCATATCCATGCCAATTCACGTCTTTTTAGTCTTCAAGCCTAACTGCGGAGAGGCATATGGACATGTTGAATCTATAACATGTTACGAAAAAACAGATCGTTAAGATCACGAGTTTAAGAAAAATGTTTGACAATTTTTTGCCTAAACATGGTTTAAAATAGTGTCTAACTTTTTTGTGGTACAAACGTAAGGGCTCGTACTTAAGGGGTCTACTCAAAAAATTAAAATTTTAAACATCGTAGATATTTTACAAACTTAATATATTTGTTACATAAATATAATCATGTATTTGTTTGTTCCAGGAAATAGCTATGGAAAACGGGGGAACCGTTGAAGTGCATAAAACACAACCTGCTAATGGAATCCAGAGAAACACATTTATGAACGGTATATCTATTTTTTTCGGGACTTTTATTTTGAGGACACGCAGTTGTCAATGTTACTTCTCGGCGTTAGATAAACGGGGGCCTAGATTTTTAAACCTGTTTTAGCCAAGTTCTAAACGGTGTACGTTATGAATTGAACAATGTTTTTCTTTTGCCACGCTTTTACTTTGCAGATCATGAAGTTATTACTTTTTCTATAGGACTTTATTCATTATATGGATTTAAAATGGATTAGTGCTACCTTCTAAAGGACTTATAATCCTTCAAGGTAAGGGTTTTAAATGCTATCTGTTTATAAAAAAATATCAGTTGTCATTTAATTAACGCGTTCGCATTTTAATTTTGTCAAATAGATGGATAGGCATTGAATTGCACTTATCAACCTTTAAAACTGTTGTTTTTCAATAACATTATCAATGAAAGGCATACGCAATTTTGAATATTATATAATTTAGTAGTAAGTATTTTTTAAGTATCCGGCATATACTAACATTACAATTTAGTCAAAGTGTCAAATGAGTTAAGTTGTGATGATAGCTCAAAAGTTACGCTTAGTTAAATTTAACTTTAACTTGCTTTGTGGTGCAACTCACAATTAAGATCTAAAATTTGAAATCCAAATTAACTTAATAGCTACTGAAATAATGTATTATTTACAAATTTATTCTTTTGAAAGTTATTGGGATTTGTGCCTTTCTCCAGGAATATTATGTAGAGAATGATTGATAATTATGCGGTAAACAGAATTTTATCTCAGTACAACGGCGCGTTCTTTGACACTGTTATCAACGAATAGCAGTATGATTACGTGCGTTTTATCTCATAGGTTTTTTTTAGAGCCACTTACACCCGTATCTATGTGAACACTGAAACTGTCATAAATAACGGACCGGGGTCGTTGCAATGTCAAACTTTAATTGAAAAACAAAAAGTATTCTTATGACGGACATGTAGATGGTGTACCAGGAGTGCTATTCTATAAAGAAACGTACAGTCTGTACTTTTCACTGCGGAATCCGCGGAGTGAATTTTTATTTGAAATTCGTATTCTAATTTCAAATTCCGTTTTTGCGTGATTGAGTAATAGACATCCAAACATACAGTAAACTTTCACATTTATAATATTAGTTGGATTTAATTGCTTTACAATCCATATACTTAAATTTCAAGGTGATAGTGTTTTGTTCATAAAAATAGTCCTTTACCTAATCATTTTCTTTTCCTCAATTTCGTGGAACTTTGGCAAACTTACTGCTGCGGTGCTACTACGGATTGTACGTTTCTTTACCCATGTGGTGCTCTTGTAGTATGCTAAGAATATGGCTGTATCTGGTAGAGGCCAGGTTACTTCGCCACACAGGCACTCCAATTTAACCCTCAAACATTTCTTTATTCCTTTGAAGTGTTCAAACGACTTACATCACCTTCATGACAGGGCCGGATCAAGTGGTGCCGTCATCGGATTACACAGTATGGGCGCCAGACGCCGCTGTGAAGCTGCGGATTGCACCCCGAGGCTTGGCTGCTGAGCCGCCCTTGTCCGTCCCTGGACTGCTCACGCGCATGGCCACACGATACCCGGACCTGTACGCACTGTGCTCCAAGAAAAAGGACGGCAAATGGCACAAAATCACATACAAGTGAGTAGTCCTTCCGATTAAAACATTAATGATGATGAAAATTCCCATCTTGCGCACTAATATTTTGATTTTATTTGGTACTACTTACCTGAAAGGTTCCTCTCGGGATTTTATTACATTTCAATATGAAGCAAAGCAATTTATAACTATTCCAGACTTCCCGAGATCAGATCAGTAGGTAACTGAGCCACATTAATCGATAGGAAGAATGTCAAAAACTTCAAGTAATGCAAAGACCACAAAAAAGATTGACACTACACACTAGATCGAGTAAAGGACTTGTGATCACATTTGGATCTCATACTTAGAAGTTTTCTGACAAAAACATAAAAAAAATTAGGTATTGGTCCGCTGATCATACTTTACGCATCTTTATATGGTTTGGATAGCTTGGATAAAAAGTCCCATCGTGGACCCTCAAATTGAATTTTGATTGGTATTAGTTACATAAAAGGATCCTTTGAGACTGCTAAGTAAGTTAGGCAAAGTTTGTTTAAATTTTATAATTATCTGAGCAACTTCATTATTTTTTTACTTTAGGACCTTCAACAAAGTTTTAGAATACCAAAAAAAAGTTGGATGAAATCGGTAAAGTCGTTCTTAGGGTACAGCGTGACTAAGGGAAATATATAATATTAGTAGCTGACCCAGCGAACTTCGTACCGCCATAAAAATAGGGGCAGGTGGTAGAAGAGAAAATTTAGGGTTGTATGTATTTTTAATACCACATGATAAAAAAAAATATTGTCCAAAAAAAATTTTAGGGATGTGTAACGTAGTTCTCTATCAATTTTCTAGGATTACATTACTCCTAATCCATATGAGAACACTACGTTACAATACCCAATAGTTTGAATTTTGGCGCGAAGGCGCATTGTAGGTTTAAGAACACTACGTTACAGGTGTATAACCATTATCACTTAAGGATATGAAAAATAGATAGTAGCCGCTTCTCAGACCTACGGAATATGGATATAAAATTTCATAAAAATCGGTCAGGCCGTTTCCGAGGAGTATCGTAACTAACATTGTGACACGAGAATTGGTGTAGAAGACATTTTTTCATGTTAAAGGGATGGGAAACAAGCGTACTTATGGCCCGCCTGATGGTAAGCGGCCACCATAGCCTATACATGCTTGCAATACCAAAAATATCACTGGCACCGTTGCCTACCCTAACCAATCCCCTACCCGGTGGAGCCCTGGAACCTTACTCGCCGACAGAAACACAACACTTTCATAAGTTAGATAGTGTTATTTTACTGTGATATTCTGAAAGGTAGAGGTTACTTCCCCAGACGGGCGCTCCAATTGAAGCGGAAAATCCGATATGCCCTACCACTCTTAATATGGAAAACTTCAAATAAGTACCTAATACAAAGATAAAGACACAAGGCTTAAATTAGTTTTTCTTTTATTTCAGACAGTACAGGGAGCGCGTGCGCACCGTCGCCAAAGGATTCCTGAAACTGGGTCTAGAGCGGTACCATTCTGTGTGCATCATAGGATTTAACTCAGAGCCTTGGTTCCTCTCCGATCTGGCCGCTATACACGCAGGGTATGTTTTACCTAAAATCTACTGAGTAGATATTTGATACCTAATCAAAATACTTACTTACTTCCGTATTGGATTTGGAACGAAACAGAAACATTAACGCACCCACAGACATAAATCGAAACAGATAACGAAAGTGAGTGTACTTCGCGTGTCAAAAGGGGAGACCAATCGTAATCCTTTTACGATAATTCATTTATTCGCATCGCCGTTCTCAATATCGGACCGTGTCAACCGTAATGTTTAAAAAATATCTAACTATGTCATATTAAGCTGTAAAAACGATATATTTGAAATTGGTGCATGGGCTCCGGGCCCATGCTTTTTCACCACTTATTTGTTCTCGCGAGTAATCAAAATCTGACACTCGGTTTCCATACAAATTGAAGTACATGCGGCGTCTACTTTTATCTAGGTCTGTGAATGCACACAACTTGTAACTTTTCCGCCCTTTAAGTAAAAGTTTATCAATGGCAGGATATATTCGAAAACTGTTGTCAACCGTAAGTCTTGGCCACGGGCGGCATCTTGGACAAGTCAGGATATTTCTTGTCTTCCCGTGTTAGACTGGGAGCTAAAGTAAAATATTTTATTTTACTTAGGATGTGCCAGCCATACATAATAATATATCTGAAGTTAGCCCATATATGGGCTTGAGGTACTCCATGGCGCAGTGGTTAATAAGTTTAGCAACTTGGGCAATGACCAAATGTATGTATCATCTGTAACTTCCCAGCAATTAATATATTATACACACAACAAAGAAGTCCAAGCAACATGCATTATTTGCGCAAACCGCAAGTTTTATCAGTTGCCTTATATTATCGTTATGAAATGTATAATTTATTCATAGGGTTTTTCGCTTTAGTCAATAAAAATGGTTATGATTAACAAAAGAATATAAGTATTAAAAACTGTCAAAGTTCTGGAAATATTGTGGTGCTTAGTAGTATGTTAAGTAGAAATGTAGCGCCAAAGTATCTTAAAGCGATTATATAGGTTATCGTATATTTTATCTTTTATGTTGAGTGAGCTAGATTGCAGGGCATAAGAAGTTTTATTAAAATAATATGATCTATGATATATAGATGATATTATTATATCATACTTCATTACATAAGTACAAAGACGTCATTGCAAAAAAACAACTACTAGACTTGCAAACCAAACTTACAAAAGGTAAATTTAAAAAATCTAAAAACCCGACTACTTAAATATTAGGTCAAATAAAAACTGAAAAGAAAGAAACAAGCCTAGTAGTCTATAATTCTGTTAAGCAAGGAACAAAGATACTTTAACAGCCGGGACCCATTATATATTTAAGAATGGATCATATTATTTTAAGAATGGGTCCTGACGCTACATTATTAGCTTTGTTCCTTGCTTAACAGAATTATAGACTAGTAGTTTCTTTCTTTCTTTTCAGTTTTTATTTGAAGTAATATTTAAGCAGTCGGGGTTTTTGATTTTGAAAACTGAAATGAAATATACTGTAAGAAACCTAAACATAATTTTCGATTATCTAGATAGACTAGACTCGACATAATATATTTCGTCAACTTATTTTTTTTTTCTCCCAATATGGCGTCCAATTATCCTCATATTGCGTTTCGATTACTATCATATTTTTAGTAGCACTCCCATGATTAAGATGAATCGATTGACGTAAGAATCATCAAAATCTATCTATGCGTTTTGTCTAGTGTGCCACAAACGAACATACATTCATATATACACTGTCAACAAATACTATACCCTGTCTACGCGTCGTGCTTCGCGCTTTTGCATTGCGCAGTTGGGTAAAAACAGGCAACAAGATAATACGACAAAATAAATTATTTTAACACACGTCAGGCAAAGATTTATCTAGTGCGTTCTGTTCACAAGCACAAATATTTACACAAAAAAAATGTTTAACCTGAATGTTTGAATAAGTTTGACATTTCGAACTACCCAGTTGATTTTATATTGGACCGTTTGGATGTTTTAATGTCAAATTACATCAGTTGTATTTAAAAAGTCTGTATCACAGTCACGTATTAAAGTGATGTGATCATAATATCTTACCTACTCGGTATTTGTACCTAGAGACAAACTGCTTATGCGTAAAAATCACAGAACACAGAAAGAGCTGTGGTCTATAGTATAAATCACAGAATAAAGAAAAAGGATTCTGAGTTCTGTGGTGATATAAATGCACAAGGGGCACGAAATTATTTAGAACACTAAGCTAAAGAAAATTTTACTAGAAAAAAATCCAATCGGTTCAATTTCAGACGAGATACGTAACTGCATCTACCGGATTCCGTCTGAAACCTGGACCTGGACCGAGTGTGGAATATTGTCTAGTAAAACTTTGTTTAGATTCAAACATCCAGCAGTTAATTGCTTAGAAATATAAAATGAACATTACGCTGCTTTACCTTAAATATAAAGCTTCTTAACTTGTCGAAGGTGGCATAATCAAAATGATTAAACCCTCTATCACACTAATATTATAAAGGCGAAAGTTTGAGAGTGTGTATGTTTGTTAGCGATTTTAATAAAATTTGGTATGGAGTTAGCTGACGCCCTGGATTAACACATAGGCTACGTTTTACTGCGGAAAAATATCCCTAACAAACCGCGGGTAACACCGCGGGGCACAGCTAGTAATCAATAAGGTAAAAAACTAAGCTTCTTGTTTTTTATCTTCTATTATGCCGACCTTCGTGGTAGAGTTCAAATAAAAAAAAGAGTGATATGTACACCGATTGAGGCGTTGCCGATTTTGCGATGCTCGAATCCCAGCAGGGGCAAATACGAGCATTTATATCTGAGTCGTAGTAGTTCATTTAGATTTCTAGGAGTATACCTATAAATCTATCATTTTATGATTTTTTATCCGTAACCCTAGTATCCCATAACATAAGCGTTAACAATGCTAACTTTGGGTCAAGGTTAATTGTGGGAGTGTAAAGCATATAATAAAAACGTCTCTTACATTTTAGCATCTTCGTTACTACAAGAACTATGGTATAACAGACAGGTAAAGAAGAATAGTGGATAAATTTTTCAACTTATGCCCGTGTGAATGTAGCGAAATGACCAAGCCACACATTTTGACTAAGGTTTAGAGTTTGTGAAGTTAAGCCTTGTAGAGTTAGAAGCTTGGCTCATGATGAGATCTAATAACTTTTTGAATCATATGGTCTCGTCTTGGCAACATTTAACATAAAAATGTTTTTGATGGGATTATCTTAAATTTCAAATTCTCCTCAGTGGTTTCGCGGCGGGCATCTACACTACAAACTCTGCGGAGGCCTGTTTTCACTGCCTGTCCTCGTCTCGAGCTAACATCTGCACAGTGCAAGACAAAAAGCAGCTAGACAAAGTACTGTCAGTGAGAAGTCGACTGCCTCATCTAAAAGCCATCGTGCAATGGGAGGGCAATGTGGACACTTCTATACCGGGTGTTTACAGCGTAAGTCCATACATCATGCTATTACATAGCTACTTGGTTCATAAGCTATTCATTAAGTTTGCAAACAAGCACACGTACCTCAACTACTAAAATAACCTTCGGTCGCATCGTAGTGTTTTTTTATTATAGTCTGTTTTAGAACTTAAATATCCATTGACGTGTTGTCAATTGCACTGTTAGAAAGATTTAAAAGAAATAGCTTAATACACTTCATAAACATTGAAGCAGTTAGACGCAAACTCAAATAATATTATTTAATTATTCCTTTTTTCAACCATAAAAGGTTCACAATAATCACATTTGTAGATTATTCTGTGAAAAGAAGTTGACTTGGTAATAGTCTTAATTGAACTTTCATTTCACGGTTATCTACGGTTGATTTTCTCTAACGTTACGATTGTGTATAGCATTTAGTGCTGAAGCTAAAGGGGGGCATTGCCCTAAATTAAAATGCCATTGCCCTATACTTTAAAACGGGGAGGCAGGCTTCGAAAGGCGGCACGCTCCAGCTTATGTCCTACCTGTAATTGCCGCTGCCCTATCTTAAATACAGCTCTGACTACGGCCCTGATATCATGCAATTATAAGCCTCGTCAACTAATTTGTCACTAATGCTACCTTGCTAGGTTCCTATTCCTAGGAAATTATTGCCTAGGCAATTTATCTACAGTAGACCCGCGGCATTTCGGACCCCGTCTAAACCGGTGCCTCCGGTAATCCGACACGCTAATCACATGAAATACACATAAAATCAATGGAAATAGATTTTTAGATTTGTGATTTGTCGGATTACAAGGTACTCTTATTCTCAAAATTCCGGACTATAGAGGGTGGTCTTAGGCATTACTCTATAATATGACATAATACTACTGAAATAATTCTGCCGCTTTTTGCGGGGGGAGGAATATGCACACAAATGCAGTCCAACATACTTTCGCAAAAACGAAATTGTAATTGCGACAGTCACACATACAAAATGACAGCGCTCAATCGAGCATAGATGAAACATAAAGTCTTTGGATGAAACTCAAACTTGAGACTTTTTATTGACAAATCTGAATTTTGTATTGGCGAGTCGATTGTTTCGTCAAACAAAACCGAGACGCGACGATTGAATTTTAACAAAATAATATGAATTTTGTGTTTAGAGGTTAAATGTAAATAATATGTTAATAATTCTTCTTGTATGTGTAATTTAACACCAACCTTTTGTAAGTTTAATATTCCAGATAGGTTTTACAGCAAATTACATAAGATTTTGGCATTTTTGAGCTGTAACATAAACTCGCGCGACTTGACTCAGTCTAGTGTAATATCCAAGCGAAACTTATTTTTGTTTGTGAGCTGGCCCAACAGCAGAGAAAATCAACAGAGGGAAACGCTGTCAATGCCGACTCCCCTCCTGGCCGCGTCGGCCGCGTTTCTTTATGGGTGCAACCCATTAAAACAGTTATAGTAAGTTGGTGCAACTCACGCTAAGCTAACTACGTGCTGTCATACAGTACAGGTAATTTACGTAAACCCTCTATTCACATAAATCCGGTCCGCTTATAAAACGCATTCATACTACATCCACTTATGAAAGACTACTTAATTAAAAGTAATTAGTACCTACAATATGTAACAGAACAGCCAAGGTTAACATGGCAGGTGCAAGAAACGTATGTTTAAATAGGTACCTACCCTTTAGGTATCAGACAGATAGCTTGATAGAGATTATAGATAGATACATAGGTACTTATCGTCTAGATTTTTTTATATCAGATGAGAACCTACATTTATATTGAATTAACGATTGCGATGTGATAAGTTGTTTTTTTTAATTGTTATCATTATATTAAATAAACTAGCTGACCCAGCGAACTTCGTACCGCCATAAAAAAAAAATTAATTAGAAAAACATTGTCCAGCGAACAAAATTGTGAATCTAAACCATTCTCAGATCCCCTTGAACACACACAAAAAATTTCATCAAAATCGGTCCAGTCATTTAAGAGAAGTTCAGTGACATACACACTCACAGAAGAATTATATATATAAAGATAGATATTTGTTACGTCACCGTAAACTGACGATATGAGATGTTGTTGGGATTGCACTATACAATATAATTCAGGCGTCAGAATAAGTTTTCCTTGGTGTAGCAGTGGATAGGTACCTTCACCAATCCTTAATAATATATCAGAAAATTCACGATCATCCGGGTTATCTCCAGTTCTCACTCGCATGTTTATAGTCAAATGCACCGATTGTATATCACGCCACAAATAAGAGCTTTTCAGGCAAGCCCTAACCTCATCAGCTCGGGTTCCCCGTGGTATTACCGGTAAGGTTTGTCGGAAATCACCACAAAATAAACTGTGATACCGCCCATTGGTCGATCATTTTGTCTTATCCGTTACACAAAAATAAATCCTTATAGCATGATTCAGTATTCACGTGCGACGGCGCGATGGCTTATTTCATGTATAAGTTTGGTGTTTCTATACCGATTTCTATGATTCTTTTTTTATTGAATAGGTAATAATGTTAACTTTTTTAAATTAGGGATGAGTGAGAGTATTATAAACGTAAGAGTAAACAAATATAATCAGAATGCTCCGAACTGCTAAGCTATCAGGAGTTACACGTGTTATTGTAAGTCAACCATAAAAGATAGACATATGCTGTTGCGAGATATTTTTTAGAAATTTTTATGTAGAATATTTCCGTCATACATAATTTCTATGTAATTTTAACTATTAAGGCTGCGCACGCGACGGAAGCTTAAAAAATGGAGTAACTTCTCCCGTTTTCCCAACATTTCCCTTCATTACTCTGCTCCTATTGATTGTAGCGTGATGAAAAGTATACTATAACCTGCCCAGGAGTATGAAGAATAATTGTACCAAGTTTTGTTAAAATCCGTCGAGTAGTTTTTGTTTCTATAAGGAACATACACACAGACAGACAGACAGACAGACAAAAATTTTACTGATTGCATTTTTGGCATCAGTATTGATCACTAATCACCCCCTGATAGTTATTTTGAAAATATATTTCATGTACAGAATTGACCCCTCTACAGATTTATTATAAGTATAGATTATTAATATTTATGACACACACCAACTAGCCCAGCCCCAAAATGAAGCACTATAATGGATTTGTTATGGGATACTAGGGTAACAGATATCCCAAGCAGCACATACATAATATAATCGAGAATATATATACAAACTAACAGCCATAAATTGAACTACGGCGTTATAAGAGTTTCCGTGATAACATTAAGCTGGACTATTTATTAAACTTTTACACATACTAAAGCAATTACATAGCTTTTATTCAACTATCTGCTTTAAATAGAATCCATAGAAATCAATATACAGACACAAGCTGTACAAAATACGCTACTAACATTTCACTACACTTCTAGTTTTACAATGTATTTAAATAAGGCATAAGGTGCATTATAAAATAATATTAGAATACGTTTAAAAGCTCTAAGCGTTATAATAAAATTACCAAAAAGTAAAACCTGTTCCTTGGTATATTTCGATACCATAAAGATACCAGTTTCATAAGACTCTATGCAAAATCCTTAAAAGAACCTTTAACTGTATTAGATATGTACTAGTGGCCCGCCATCGCTTCACTTCGGTGTAGAGCTGTAGTGTAGACTATAGTTTTTGTTCTCAGGCTTATAAATTTCTCAGGTTTGTGAATTTCTTTATAAATAACATGAAAATTTATTTAACTGATAGTGAAAATTATGTTGCGTAGTTTAGGACCCGTTGTACCGAATGCACCATTATTTGGTTGAACTCGCAAATCTCAGAAACTAATAATGGACCGATTTAATAAAATCCTTTTGTGTTAAATAATGCATTTATTGAGAAAGGCTTAAGCCATATAATATTACGCTGCGACCAGTAGCATCGGAGTATCGTTGTAAAATGTTCCAAAAACGGGTAAAAATATACCATTTGGAAGATTCCGCTGCGTACGCTGCGTAAATTATTAAAGTTACACAAAAATCATGTATGACGGCATTGTTCAACTTTAAAAGTTCTATAAAAATATGGGTGCGTGTACTTAAGTACGCGCGTGAGAAGTTATACTTCTTTTTGGAATTATTAAAAAATAGTTTTTAATTGCATGCAGATAATTAATTACAATAAGATAATAAAAGGATTGGAAAAGGATAGTCAACGCAGTCAATAAAGTTCAGTTTTAATTTGAAAAATTTAATAAATAATCAAAATATTCAATTTAAATCACTACTGAATAAAATTTATTAGCACATATAAAGGAGATTGCTCAAATTGGCCTAAATGCACAAAAAATATTGACATACACGGTAATTATTGCCGTAATTTATAATTTAATTTACAGTCATTAGATTTCAACGGACACCATTGTATAATATATTCACTTTAAAAAGGACTTTTAATTTTACAGGTTTGGAAAACATACGAATCATTTTTAATGGCTATGGGTGTAGTAACATTCAGCCAAAGACTGATCGAAGTTGTTTATATAACATAAAAACAAATCTATTTTGTAAAGATCAATAAAATAAATCATTTTTATATTATCATTTTCACTAGATGCAAATGTGCTTAGACAATTATTATAGATGGTAGGCGACATCATAAAGTCTATTGCCATACATTTTTCGCCAAACACCTCCATAAACACATTATAATCTGTATATATGTTAGACTTTAAGGTATTTATCTATGGGCCTACGTTCCCTGACTATAAATTAGTAAAAAAATAAAATTATAAGGTGTGATACACTAAAAATCTAAAATATGGTTATCTTAAAAACATAACAAAAATAATGAAGCTACTGAATATACGGCTATAGAACCTAAATCTCTTCGCTTTCTTTGGTTAACTAGAGTTTAAAAATTCTCTCTTATCTGTGGCTCATTCACAATCATCACACAGTTTCTGTCACAGAGTAAGATACTCTGTGACAGAAAATTATAACCGGAAATGACACCTGATTTTAAAAGTTACTCTTATGCATTAACTTTAAAAACAGGCAACTATCTGTTAATCTACATGCTCTATATACCTGAATCTAATCCATAATTTCGGTACTTGGCTTGATTTCCCTAGTTTACTATATAACTTATTTGTTTTTAATTATTTTAATATGTTCAGTGTATATGGTTTATAGAAGTTCTCAGGGGTGTCCGTCAACAATATTCGTTTCTACAGTAATTTATATATAATTTCGAATCTAGGAAACAATTTTTCATGATTATTGGTCTTTAGGCCAAACATGTATGGAAGCTGAGCAATCTCCTTTCGCATTTGTATAACATTATAACACGTGTTAAGAATATAGAAACTAGAAACATGTGGATAAATATGAAAACAGTGATCAGAGGCGACGAGCGTCCCAACATGTGAGACTAAGAGATCCTATTACTATTTTGTTGGAAGCCTTTTTTCGAGACTTACTTACTTTAGTTATGTGCGGTTTAGCGGCCGACTTCATGGTGTTACTTTTCTGTTACAGTGTTGCGCGCGCATCTTAAAATTTCACTCTCATCATTTTTTCATAACGCGCCCGCGGCTAACTTCATTATGTTACTTTTGTGTTACAGTGATGCGCGCGCATCTTTAAATTTCACTCTCATATTTTTTTCATAACGCGGCTGAAGAAGTATAACTTCAAAAAGTCCGCGACAGCATATATTTTTCCTCAAATTAACGCGGGTGAAATCGCAGGGAACTTCTAGTTGTGACATAACTGTAATAGTTAGAAATATTATATCGCGGACATTTATGTCCTCTTTAAAACTTAAGTACATCACTTTGCTCTATTGTCAATGACTTCCGCAGCACAAGCGATATAAGGTTATTTTTTGGTGTTTTTACACCCTGGGTAACATTATCGGATTTTTCATACGAAACCCTAACTTTTTTGAAAATACTCTATAGTCTATGTTCATCAGGGATAATGTAGGATTTTAAATGTGTAAGAATTTTTCAAATCGGTCCAGTAGTGTCTGAACCTATCCAATACAAACAAACGTACAAACAATCACATCTTTTCTATTATCGAATTATGAAAATATCGAAATAGAAGTGATGCAATTAAGGAGTGTTAAAATAATATTGAGCTTTTACAAACCAATTAATTTATGAAGATGAATTAAATAAACAGGTCAATATTACATCGGGATGAATTAAATAAACAGGTCAATATTATATATACGGGAATCTAGTTAAACGTTAGCGTGCAATATTTATGAAGGGTTCTGTACATTCAAAATCAGTTAATTCGCTGTACAGTGGTATTTCTCAGCAAAATTCGCAGGAGCTTAAACTATCAGTAATAGGACTCACTATTACTGATAGCTAAGTTCAAGCAAAACTGAAATCACGGAATAAAAAAAACGTTTCGTAATGAAATTAGAGAATAGGCTGCACATTTTTTTTTTACAAGCGGTGCTTAAAGATTTAGGAATCATTTAAATAGAAGATTTCTGGATGTTATACCAAACGACGGCCCCATTACAATTTGGCGTAACATCTAAAGATATACAATATACCTTAATACAGTATCAGTACATAGTGATAGAGCAATGATATTTAAGTTAGACAATACGTTTTGAAAACTGCTCCAAAGAGAAAAAAATCACTCCTTTTTACTTTACAAACTATTGCTAGATTAAATTAGTGGCCTTGAAACAGTACTTCACCCCCGGAATGTATAGAATTATTTTCCACACATATCTTGTTAAAATCTTTTACATTTATACCTTTAATGACCTTATTTCACCGGTGCGTGAATATTTCTGCTAAAATATACATAATACACTTTTACAGTATATTGATCTCCGCAGTCATTTTTCACTATTTCTAGATGAAAACCAAATGTAAACAGTGAAATTAGGGACTTACTGAAATTTTAAACACTTTGACTAAACCACCATTAACTTTTGACTATTGAGACATCAATCTTGTAATACTTAAAATTCTCTTTAAATGCGTTAACAATCTTAATTCGTTCAAATAAACTCTTACCCCTTTATTAATAAACAAGGATTAAGCTGACACTAGTTACGCCGTGTTTTGTTCATGTCACTCAAATGCCATTTGTCATTCAATGAACAGAGACAAAACATAAAGTAACTAATGCAAGCTTAGTCTTTGTTTATTAAGAAGGGGGTCATAGAGTAATTATAAAAATAAAACCTGATTAAGAGATGTATAAGAGAGAATTTTTAAGAGTAATAATAATATTCATCATACAATCATTTGCCCTACCGGGATTCGAATCCAGGATACCGGTGTACATAACACGCACGGAGGTCGTCCAAATTAATGATAGTTTTATGTGTCAATCAATCGTCAATGAAAAAATAGCTCATATTTAAATGATATTATAGATAAATATTATCTATAGGTATCTACTTAATATAATCTAATGCACTATACATAGTGATGACAAGATAAAGATATCAATGGAGTAAAGTATTTATGATATCATAATATTATTTCACGTGCTAAGTCCCAATTTAGTTGTAAACATTATCAAAACTGATAAATTATAAGAAAATCCATGGGCAATTTAGTGGGCATGTCATAAAACTAAAATATTTTATGCTTGAATAATAATTTTTCGTGACTTATATGGTAATAACTATGATTACCTTTAATGGTAATGATAAATAAGGTTCATCCACGGAATAGGTAAAAAGTTTGTAATAGTCTTAAATAGGGTTGCCAGATAGTCAGGAATCGTCCGAATTCTCTCGACATATCATGTGATCTCCCGATTCAGGACAAATAATGAAATCTCCCGACAAACGAATATGACGTGGTATCACAGCCCTGTCTGGGACCACTGGCACTGACTGCGCCTACCTTAGTCCATTTTTAGGCATAAAGGAAGCGTTCAGCTCAAGAGGGGCGGGGGGGAGGGGGGTTAATTTTCCATATAACAACCCCAAAATCTGTGAGGGTTAAAAAACGTCGGGTTACTCAAACCGACAGGGTTTAAGCCGGGTGGCAATTGGCTAAACTCAACAAATAGTAATTCGTGTACAAAATATAAATAAAATATTACTAGAAAAAAATCCACGCGGATCAGGCAGCAGACGGGACTCGAACCCACACCCAAAACTTATTCAAACCCAAAATTGCGTATTTCCCAGTAATTTGATGCTTAAGTTTTTAACGCCAATCAAATACTTTAATAAGGTACACATGCTTTGGTGTCATTGTTTTATGTCATTTTTTATTTTATTTCAGTGGGACCAGTTAATAGAGATGGGCACTAAAGAGTCAGATGCAGCTCTTAATAACGTCTTGAAGAACATAGCAGTAAACGAATGCTGTACATTAGTTTATACGGTAAGTTCTTAACAATACTTATGTACCTCTGAAAATATACTGGCCATGGAGATACTGGTCACACTAAGGGTGAGGCCAAACGAGCGTAATTTTGTGAGTGGTGAGTCGCAGAATTTCGGTCGCAGAAATTCTGCTGCATTCGGTTTCATACAAAAAGGCAGTTGGTGCCACACGACAACGCAAAATGAGTTGTCTGCCGACTCAATGCGCATAAGTTCGTCCGAATTTCGGTCGGGGTGAGGGTAGGGCAAGGAAGGGGAATGGGGAAGCAACAGTTTGTTACAAGTTGCGTGGTGTAATAATTCTTGAAAAACACGTAATGGCATATGATGGTACCTACTTTTCAAACATATCTGGATTTGCACATAAACGTTCATATAAAGTATGGAACTGTCCACATATGAGCCTCTGACTATTCAGTGGGTTTACCCAGTTTCTTTTTCTGGCCTCATCTTCTGAATATGCTTCGTAAATACACAATATTTTTAATGGATCCATTGCACTCGACGACACGAACACCCCGTACTAACGCTCAATAGTAACTGAATAAATTACGTTCGTATGGCAGCTCAACAGAAATTCAGTTGAACGTAAAATAAGTGACCGAAAATAAGCGACTCACAACTCACAAAATTACGCTCGTTTGGCTTCACCCTAAAGAGAATGGGAATGTACGTACCTATGTTGCGGAACTTCCTCAACGACGCCTTTTATTAATATTTTTAAAAAAGCATTAGAACTTTTTATGCGGTCTCCTCCCCGCCCATTTCGTTTAGCTCTGTGATTTGGTGAAATGAACTAGTATTCTACCAACTAAAATAAGACAATACTAATGCACCGTTTACCTAACACTCATTTTGAGGACCTAAGTCTCCAAAATGTGCAGGTGTTGTTACACCCGCCGGTGTGCCTTAATGGCCATAATGACATCATAAATAAAATAGGTTTAAGTTACCATACGGCTTGGTTTGACTGAGACTGTCCCAGTTTAAAATGTTAATCTCGGCATCCCAACCGGTTTGGCAATTCGTTCCGTTGTTGTATCAAGTACATCAAGAGTCGTGTGCCTATTAAACAACAATGTTTATAACAGCATCAACTTTAATGAATGAAACTGAAATTTAAACAGATGTTTTTCAGTGAGGCCGTCAGTAACCTGAAGATTATTTTACAAACGGACGGACAGCTCTGATGCCTCGAAATTACCTTAATAAAGTTAAACTTATAGGCAAGGACCCTAAATTGGCACTGCTTGAACTTAAAATGCCTTTCTTCCTTTATTATAAGTTTTCCAAACTTCTGTGCTCAACCTTAGTTATGTACATATTTGTTTTCGATTTCGGTAATACAATCAGTGTGGTTTCGATTTAAAGTTACTATTTACCAGTTTAGTTTAGTTAGGTACTATTGTTTGTATTATTACAGTCAGGCACAGTGGGTCCGCCTAAAGCAGTGATGCTTTCACACGACAACCTCATTTGGGACGCCCACTCAATCGCAACGCGAGTAGGGGACATGCAGCCCGATTTAGAACGGATGGTCTCCTTCTTGCCTCTTAGCCACGTTGCCGCACAGGTACGTAAGTCAGCAACATCATTCAACATTAGCATAGCAATGCCCCCAATTGGTTAAGCATATAGGCCTTCTCAATAGATGAAATGGAGAAGTATGCAGATTTTTCTTTCGTCAGCTTATTTAATTCATACCCACGTAATACTTCATACGTCTATATCGACCACTAGGGGTCTATGAAAACCTGCAAGGGGTCTACGTCAGCGAAAAAAAATCAATATCAGGTAAGTAGGGGGTCTACCCAACACGGAAAAACATGACAAGGGGTCTACGACACAAACAAGTTTGGGGAACTCTGGCTTAGACCGTTAGATGACTAATAGGGAATGCCTTCTGGCATTAAGTCAACCATTTGTTAATTGAAAATATAGAGTAAATATATTAACTAAGTGCTGATTGGGAAGTTTTAACGACTGCAGATGCAGCTAGGGCCAACGCGGCTTCTCGTACCTTTCAAAGCTCACCCATCCGACGACCGACTAGTGCAAGGGTTTTCCAATTGTAGCAATCGCAGTCCAAACGCTAAACATGGCACCACCAAGCTCCTCTGTTGATTTTTCATGATTTATAATAATTCGGCTTTCATGGAAAAAATACGAAGGTTGCGCAGAAAATTAGGAAAACCCGAACCCGCGGCGCTGCATCCGGGCTTTACATTTATTATTTATTTTTCATCTTTTCTTTTTTGAAGATAGTCACAGGTTTAATAAAAGTATTTTTATGGACTTTGGATCACTATTATTTACTTTAAAAACTAGATCTCTTATTCAATTTAAATACTTCTCGCAGGTCGTAGATATTTACACAGCAATGACGAAAGGAATCTCAATATATTTTGCACAACCAGACGCACTAAAAGGCAGCCTAGTAGAAACGTTAAGAGAAGTCCGTCCTACAAGGTAACGTATAAATACACTTCTGGACACATCTATTGGCCCACCTTGTATTTTCAGTTTCGTTTGGTCCTAGCTAAAATTTTATATTAGGTCGAGCAAAAAGTTTTTATGCAGTTTTGAACCTGGCACATTCACAATTTCGTTCAATAGTCTTTTTTTGAATTTCGAACACAGAATTTAAAGAAACAAAAGACAATTTGGAGCCTGTTTGTCGATATCAAACAATCGAATAAAGAAAACTTGGTTTTATTGGTTTACTTGGATTTAATTCTTGAAAAAGTGATTGATATCTTTGGTTTTGCAACAAACATTACTTATTCTTAACATTAAGGTGAGGTTCTATCAATAATCTATGGATACTTCACCTGAAGTCGCCGCCCAAGCTGTGGCACTTATTCAGGCCGGACACAGCCAAAGAAACGTGAGTGCTCAACTTAATTTAAGTCGATCTGCGGTCCGAAATGTTTATCGGAGGTACCTAGAGACTGGCGGCTTTGTTCGTCGCCAAGGAAGGCCACGATCTCGAGTCACAACTGTAAGGCAGGATTGATTCATCGTGACGACCAGCTTGAGAAATCGTCACCTTACCTCCATTGAGATACAAAAACAAAATCGCGACTTCCACGGAGTATCTCTGAGCGCTCGAACTGTTCGGAGAAGGTTAAAAGAACGCGATATGGTACCACACAAGCCAGCTAATGGGCCCAAACTAACGCGAGCCCACCGAACAGCGCGCCTTCATTTTGCACGCAGTCATTTAAATTGGACACAGCAAGATTGGAGCCGTGTACTCTTTTCTGATGAGTCTAAAATTGTGTTACATGGCAATGATGGAAGGAAGAAGGTCTACCGACGTAAGGGAGAGCGTTTCGCACAGTGCTGCTTTGAAGAGAGGGTTGCTTATGGCGGTGGCTCATGGACTGTCTGGGGCGGTATATCCGCGAGCGGCAAAACTCAACTTGAGGTTGTTACAGGAACACGGCTGCCAACATTAAATGCTGAAAGGTACATTCGTGAGTGCTTAGAACCTCACGTGATACCATACGCGGACTATGTGGGCCCAAATTTCCTTTTTATGCATGATAATGCAAGAGCCCATGCGGCCGGCATCGTCAGGGAATATCTTCGGGATGTGAACATCACAGTTATGGACTGGCCAGCCAGAAGCCCAGACATGAACCCCATTGAGCACATGTGGGACGAGCTAAAAAGACGTGTTAGGGCTCGTCAGCCAGTTGCCCAGACGATGCAGGAGTTGAAAACTGCCATAGAAGAGGAATGGGAGATGATCCCTCAAAATTTCATAGAGCGGTTGATAAACTCTATGCCTAATCGTATGAGAGCTGTGGTAGATGCCCATGGAGGCAACACGCGTTATTAAATTAAACCTTTATTTGATAAAACATGTTTTTTATTCAAAAATCAATTGCCTTTAACAAGGCGCATATCCGACTTGTTAGGCGTAGCTCCATGTCGTATGGTATTCTGAATTCAAATTTAAAACAATACGATCGAAAAATATGGTAAAATGTATCAGGTTTAAAACTGCATCAACAGTTTTTGTTCAATCTAGCAATCACATTTCGGTAGGGGCCATCGAAACCTAAACTCTAAGGTGGGCCAATAGATGTGTCCAGAAGTGTATAATCAGCCAATAAATGTGTCCACTGCTGAGGCAAAGGCCTTCCCAATGGACAGAATATAGAGAACGGGCCATAACCCGCCACGCCGCGCAGGACCCGTACAGGTTGGTGTTAACGATTGCATATGCAGCCGAGACCATCAGCTTTACTAATTTTATATTTAAAATTTGGCAATAATTAATACTGAATAAAGATTTGAGTGATTAAAAAATATCTGCAGTTTATAAATAGGATTTCAGAATTCTGAAATTAATTTAAAAACTGTAAAGAGATTTTGATATCACCCTAATGTAACCACCACCCTTGTTATGTCATAAGACACATGTACCTATCATATTTAAAATTTAAGGTCCAACCTGTAAGAACTATTAACAAAAGAAATGAAAATATTTTCCTTTCTTCTTACAGGTTCCTAGCAGTACCAAGAGTATTTGAGAAGATGCATGAGAAAATTGTTGCCGTAGGAGCATCGAGAGGAGCAATCACTCGGTACATCGCTGGCTTAGCTAGAAGTGCTACATTAAACTATCACACAGCAAGAATAAATGGGTATGTATGTACCGTACCTATCATAAAGGTACTGATATAAAATAATCTATTAAAAACCGACATCATAAAATAATGTTATTAGAAAAGTTATCACACTACATAGTATAAAACAAAGTCGCTTTCTCTGTCCCTATATCCCTATGTCCCTTTGTATGCTTAAATCTTTGAAACTACGCAACGGATTTTGATGCGGTTTTTTTTAATAGATAGAGTGATTCAAGAGGAAGGTTTATATGTATAATACATGCATAATATAGTAGAGAAACACTGATAATTTTAGAGGTTTTTAATGTAAGGTCGTAAATAAAAAATTTTTTTGCGCTTACATTGCAAACGCTGGCTGAACCCCACGAGATAGATCAAAATAATGTACTACAGTATTGTACACCTTAAAAAGATCTACAAAAAAGTCCCCGATGGTATATGTCTATCTCTTAAGGATAACCCACAATAACCAATTTTTATCCTATACTTTTTACGAGAAATAATAGATTATTTACGAAGCGATTTTAAGCAATATAACATTCATCCTTATCCAATTAAGTACCTTAAATACATTGTGCATTTAATATAGAACAATTTGGCCCTTTAACGCATATAATTTAAATGAATATTTTCGAAGATATTACAAATTTAAAATTCAGGGACATAGCGGTTCCGACGCTACCGGGCTTGGCGGCGCGTGCCTATTGTAATTGGGTATTAGAAGAATGTCATCGTGTATAATACAAGCCTGAGAACAAAAACTATAGTCTACACTACAGCTTTACACCGAAGCGAAGCGAGGGCGGGCCACTTGTTTTGAAATAAAATAAAGGGTGGCCAATTTTTATAATGAATAGAGGTTTGAAAAAACGGAGATCCTTTCTTTCGTGATTTTGGGATCAGGAGACGAGAACAGCTAAGGCCCATGCTACGCTGAAGCACTGAGGCCAGCCAGAATAAATGTAACAATATTTAACTAAACGAAATTTACTTATAATTTTTATCAGAGTCTACACAAGCGAAATGATGGGTCAGCCTTTAGATTTATCTACTGAAGACATGATAAAATATTGGTATGTAAAGGTTTGCTTGAGTGTAACTGAAATTGAGTTTGGATTTGGAATGCAATGCTATGATTGAAATGCTTGTTTTTTAACTAACAATGTATCTATTGCAAAATTTTGGACGATTAATAATAATTATGAATTAAATTATCAATTTTGATCAGCTCTATTATAATCAAACATAATACCGTGGCAGTTTGAATGAATAAATTTTAAAATTAGACGGTAGCGAGGCTATGATGTTATATTTGTGAACCTTGACATTTGCAGCTGCATAAGATGTGTGAAAACTATTTTAGGACGCCCCAGTTTAAGAATGCCGACCTCTATACCTGTTTCTTTATCGTTTCGTAGTTTAAAATATGCCGTAGATTGATCATACTACCGTAAATGTAATCAGCAACACTTGGGTCCTAATGACTTTTCTGTTTATATCAATATCTAAACTAATATATTGCAGCTAACAACAAAAGTACAGAAAGTTTGTTTCTGAAATCGATAGAAAAAAAAATATTCTGTATTTAAAACATTAAGAACTGTTTTTTTTGTTTTTTGTTATTCCATGTTTTAATTATTATTCTCTTTAAAAAAGAAGTATGGCTCTCAATCTCAAAATTTCCGAATATGACAGATATTTACAGAAAACCTTAAATCACATTCACTTTTATAAATTTTATATTATATAGCCATATGAAAATTATAAAAAGGGTGGGATCCTTTTATTTTATAAGTAACATGTTAATATTAAAGGGAAGTGGCCTGGGGGCCATTCGCGTAACGGAAATGCTTTGGAAAACGCTAACGCTTACGATTTCATTTTGTTATTTCTAGCCGCCTGAGATTTCAAATTCTTCGCGCTCTTTTTTTTCTTTTGCATTGGTAATAACAATATTAAAGAAAATGAGAATGAGGTATTTGAAAACCTTCGGCGGCCAGAAATAATAAAATGAAATCGAAAGCGTTAGCGTTTTCCAAAGCATTTCCGTTAGGCGAATGGCCCTCTGTTTAGTCCTATCACACAAACATAGCAGCACGATTTGTTAAAGAATTCCTTGCTTATTTACGTAAGGGGTAAAGACATTCGTAACCTCGTCCTATGCTTGCGACCTGCCGATCAGAAAAAAGCAAACAAAATATATGCATAACCTAAAATTTTCGTTATTGTTTGTAGGTATGAAGGTTCATCTTTCGGATACAAGTTGGCTAAATCTTTCGTCATAAGCAAAGCGCTAGATGCCTTGGGGCTCGACCAATGCAAGCTTTTCGTCTCCTCTGCAGCGCCCATATCACCGGAGATCAAAAAATTCTTCCTGTCTCTAGATATGCCTATCGTGGAGGCTTTCGGTATGAGTGAGATGGCGGGAGCTCATGCACTTAGCATCTACCCCAAGTAAGTAAAATGGCTGAAGTCATATTTTCTCGAGTTATATTTTACTAGCAAACCAGTGAACCAAATGTTCACCAAAAAAAAAATAAAAAAAAAATGTGTATTTAATTAATTGAGAACTTCGGAGATTTTGTGTGGTTTCGTTTGAAATAGAAATCACGTGATTTCTCGAAAACCGGAAGTGCTACGTTACTCACATCCGGTTTGTTGTCTTATCAGACTATTCTTAACTTATAACTTAAACATTATCTATATCTATCTCTTACGGTTTGGCCGCTGAAACAGCACCACGGACGGACGGACGGACTTGTCTATTAGATAAGAGATTAGGGTCACTACCACTGAGACACGGTGAAGTCCCTCAACGGGGATCTCGCGGTTCCGCACTTAACAGCGTAGAGGGTATTTGCAGGGTTTTTTCGCGGATAGTATGCCGTAGGCGCTCGTAAGCCGCGCGGATTGCTTAACAGCTTCTCCGTTTCGCACCCGTGAGACTTGCAAGCTGAGTGTGAGGTCCGTTCGTTGATGTGCCCCTTAAGGGCGCCAACGTCTGTAAATAGAGGTTTTGCCTGCATAGTGAAAAAATAGGGTCACTACCACAGATTGACGACCATTCGCATTATCGTCGATGAAAAGTAGCACATTACCACGCATTATGCCGATTGGTCTTTTGTCGTTATGGCAGACACGGAGGATCTCAATGACCTCAGCAGAGGCTCTCAACAAGTGGGCCTTCAAATGAACACGAGTAAGACGCAATTTATGTATAACGCTAATGTTCCGCTTCACTCGGTAATCGTTGAGTTCTGCGGTCGTAATTGGCGACAATCCCATTTCGAGAACGAGGTAAACCGTCGCATCCAACTTAGCTGGGCAGCGTTTGGTAAACTCCGCGATGTCTTCTAGTCCGAAATACCTCAATGCCAGGTAGGACCAGGATTTTCGAACAGTGCGGGTTGCCAGTGATGACATTCGAAGCTAAGACGTGGTCGTTGACTATGGGCCTCATAAGTGAGAGTCGCATAGCAAGTAATGGAGAGAGCTATGCTCGGTGTTTCTCTACTTGATCCAATCAAAAATGATGAAATCCGTAGAAGAACTAGAATAAACGACAAACTCAGTGAATTGCAAAGCTGAAGTGGCAATGGGCGGAGCACAAAGTTCGGTGAACAGATGGCCGTTGGTGGGGTCCCAAGGTGCTACAACGGCGACGACCTCGCACCGGGGACCGCAGTGTCGTTAGACCCCTCTCTGGGTGGACTGACGACATCAAGCGAGTCGGGGTGACAAACTGGATGCGGAAAGCGGAGGACCTTTAAGCATGAAATCCCTTGAGGAGGCCTAGATCCAGCAGTGGACTTCCATCAGCTGATGATGATGATGCCGATCGACAACTTATTGTACACAGTGTTGTTGAACTTGGATAAACGTTGTCATGATTATATCTTACTGCTAGCTTCATACAGCCTAGACAAAGTTGATTTTTTTCTAGAATTTTCTTTGCACGTACTACAATGGTCAAACAAACCTAATAAAACCTAACAATATTTTTCAGAATGAAACTCGACTCCGTGGGCGAGTTGCTAGAAGGTACAGAGACGAGATTCGATGGCTCAGTGAGCCCCAATGGCCCCGGCGAGATCTGCATGCGCGGTCGCCACCTCATGATGGGCTACCTCAACGACAAGGAGAAGACCAAAGACACCATCGACGAGGAAGGCTGGATCCATTCCGGAGACATCGGCAGGGTCGATGAACACGACTTGCTATACGTCACTGGCAGAATAAAGGTTAGTATTTAGAGGCGAACTCATCATGATGGATGACTTGCACTCATCGTCACCGGCAGATTATGGGATAATTATTAGTATTATTATATCGTGAAGACTTTGAAGGTGAAACCTAATAAATCCGCCCGCGGAAATAATTGGTCTCCTATATAAACATTCATCCCCTATTCCACTCCCTTCAAATTTTATTTACCCAACAAAAAGTAGCCTATGCCTTTCTTTATCTCCATTCCAAAAGTAGTCAAAATCGCTTCATAGGATTAGGCCGAAAAGATTACAAGTACAAGATCAATTACATTATTATAGCGCGGTACAAACTTTCTGTGTGAAGTTAGCAGCGAGCGCAACGCTGCGACTTGCGCTAACTTCACAGCAGTCATTAAATTTGCACCACAATATATACCTTTGTAGAGTGAATTGGGGAGTCAAATCAATAAAGCGCTAACTAAAAACGTATCTTTTCAGGAATTACTGATCACAGCAGGCGGTGAGAACATAGCGCCAGTGCCCATAGAACAAGTGGTACAAGCTGAACTGCGGCACATCAGCTACGCGGTACTCATAGGGGACAAGAGGAAATTCCTCTCCATGCTCATCACTATCAAAGTGGGTACCTATCTTCAATACACACCATTTTTTTCAATATACCGTCAAAAAATTTAAACATCTATATATAAATAAATCTTTTAATTGGCTTGACCGATTTTGGTGCTTTATGTGAACATTCATGCGAGTCCCTGGATGATTTAAATCCACAGCTAGACCTGGAAGGTGGCGCTGCAGTGGAAAGGACAAACTCAGTCGAGCTCGCTAGTTATTTTTAAAAACTGTATGGGAGAAAAAGTGTAAATGTACTTACATTACCCATGCTTTTTCAATAATACAACATCACTTTATACTTTTTCCGCTGTATGATATTCACCCTGCTTCATAATTACTGTTGTTTTTTATTCAGACCAAAGTAGACAATGAAACGGGAGCGGCACTCGATGCACTAGAAACGGAAGCACAAAAGTGGGTCGCCAGTCTAGGCAGTAAAGCCACGACACTCAGCGAAATATCCAAAACCAAAGATCCGGCAGTAAGTATAGAACCATTAACACTCGAAATAAATTTCAATTATTTTAAAAGTTCCCGGGTGATAATATAATATTTCGAAGACGTCATATACAGTACGATTCGAACTTAATGGCGGCTGTGAAGTTAGCGCGAGTCACGGCGCAATAAATGAAACGTATGTGTGCGTAGGGTTTCGCTGGCTGAAACCTGCGTACAGTTGCGCTCGTTGCTGAATTCACCGCTTCTATAAAGTTTAAAACGTAATATAATTTTAACGCCATCGTACGTAATTTTTTGACGACAGTGTTAATGTTTTTAATACATTCCTTTGTTGAAATTTGTATTTGATTCTGTTTTCGAATGTACAATAAATTCCTCCTCTTTCTATTTGTTAATCCTCAGCTTAATATCTGTAATTTCCAGGTACACAAAGCGATAGAGGAAGGCATAGTTCGTGCAAATAAGAAAGCTATCTCAAACGCACAAAAAGTACAAAAGTTCGCCATACTCCCCGCTGACTTGTCAATGACAACAGGAGAATTAGGTAAGATACTCAAAGGAGCAAAATTGTATGTGCAGTATTTCAATTACTGTTTATTCTAGTGTTAGTTTGACACTTTATGTTATTACTAATGAATATGCTTGAAAAACTGTTTATTTAAATTGTACTCTCATTTCAGGGCCCACGTTAAAAATCAAAAGGAGCGTAGTGTATGAAAAATACAAAGACGTTATTGAAGAATTTTACAAAGAGTGATTTTAAAGTTAAGCATAGTAAAAGAAAGAGGGGTGTAAATTATTCTGATGGTAGTTATTTGCAACATTTCGCTCAATTTGAAAGTGATATTATTATTGTTCAAGTTTTAGAGAAGTGTTTTAAAATCACTACTAGTTTATTGATCGATAGGGACATAATGTGATCGCATAGAGGTGTAAGTAGACTATATTTTTGTTACAAGAAATATATACAGTTTTAAGAAAAACTCTTTTTATTTGAACATCACTTAATATAATAGACTTTTACATAAATTCATAAATGTAATAAAATTTATACAGGTATATTTATATGATAAGTACATCAAAACTTATTAAACATTCACAAATTATTGAGATCAAAAGCAATATTTGATTTCATTTAAACTTCTTAAGGATTTTTTTACAATTTATGATATTTTTGTCATTTTTATCTAATATACTCCTGATTGCCAACACTTAAAACTAAAGTGTAATTAAATATACGCATGATAAACTATAAGGTAATACAAAAAATACAATAAGTTTTAAAGAATATAATACTTTAGAATAGATGTGTAATTTCATATTTAATAGCAATAGTTTATCTTACATTAAGTAAATGTGTATGTCGATATAATTAAAAGTTATTTACTTCTCGATACTAAAACTATATCCAGAAAATGTAAATATTTCATTTTTCTATAATTGGAATGAATTACGGGAATGTCAAAATACATTTCATTAAAGCTAATAATGTTAAAAGTCAACTAATATGAATGATGAAAGTCTGTTTGACACAGTTATATTAATTAACTCAAGATTACACCTTGTCATTGGACCTTTTCCAACTTCTCTGCCACGTAACTAAATAAAATATAGATTTTTCCATTTTAAACCCATTTTATTGATTAATAACTGTAGATCTTGTAATATACATAAATAATATGGACAGCGTTGTAAGAACGTTACTTTTGTCATATTTTATGTTATTTTTCGCCCTGTGCTCGTTACTCTCAGATTGCCCGATCCATAATGTTTCTTTTTCTTCTTATTATTTTCTAATTTATAGAAAATATTCATTAATTTTCTTATACTATCTGTAAAATTCCTCTTATCTATAGATGAAGAAGTAATTTTTCTATGATAACGACTTTATTAGCTGTCATTTAACGAACCACAGGTCGTTAGGTCAACATAAAACCTCATAATTCTGAACTCGATTCTGAACCTCGATCCTTAGTCATTAAGGTCGAAAATTTTATTGGGTGATTGAGAGTTTTGTATGTTCCGAAGTAGGTCTAAAGAGCTGCTGTTGGCTAATGTATTTAGTACCAAACTTTCAAATCTTTTAAAACTTGGGCTTCTCAAATATAAAGGTCATCTGGATCCTGTATTATAACAATCCTATTCAGGGCAGTGAACAAATGTAATTACGCTATTTGAACTTATGCAATGCACGAACGACTCGCGATGGCTTATAATCTGTTTATAATTGAACATTGCCGAGACATGTAATTGATTGTTGGCGCAATATCGCCCGTACGCTGCACAAGTATTTATTAACAAACCAAATGCAAATTTAAAATACATAGATAAATGTTTTACAAAAATTTACATTACACGCTACGCAATTAATATCGCGTCATATTTACAATGTCAACTGAGTAGATGTCAAATTTATATCGGAGTCATACACGAGTTTCGTACATTTTAGTACTCGTCAATGCGAGATTTAAATAAATGCAAGAATACAGCAGGAGTTTGAAAATAATGTCACAGTTATACACAACTAGAACGGGCAATTTTCTGTCACTGATATAGTGAGGTTTGTTAATTTTCTATGGCAGACAAAGTCAAACTCACGCGCTCAGTTATAATCATCATATCCTCACACAAATTAAATATCGGTTATAATGGCTATAATTGTTCATAACTGTATTGGTTTTCTTTGAGTACTGGTCGGTTCTAGGATGGGAAGAAGGCGGGGCGTCGGTCAATAGGAGAGGTTTAGCCACTCGATATGCACAAAAGTCAAACTTACAAGCTCAGTCATATCATCACACAAATCACATGTCTTAAAAGGCTATCATTGTTCATACATGTATTGGTTTTGTTTGAATATTGATCAGTTTTACGCTTGGGAAGGGTGTGCAGTGGCCAGTAGTGGCAACGGAGCGTCGGCCAATGAGAGGGGTCCACTCCGATATGCATAATAACCAACCTTACGCGCTCAGTTATAAAGGTCACAAAAATCAAATTTCAGTTAAATAGGCTAAATAATAATTATGTCAGTTAAATAGGCTATTATTGTTCATACCTGTATGGTTTTTGTTTGAATACTGCAGTGCGATTCTGTAAAATATAATCTCCCTTCCGAATCCTATAGTTGCGTATTTCATAGCTGTCATTTAAGGCATTAGCTTGAAATGTTTTACGCACCCACATGGTAACATGTCGCATTAACTGTTGAAGCAGTCAGTAATAGACATTTGACAATGGTCATAAATCCGAATAAATGAGTTTTTAAGTGAGATTGGGAGGAGCTCGATGACGCAGGTGGCTAGCGCGTTCGGCTGCGGTCGTTGAAGTAAAGCAACTTTCGCAATGTTTGGTCATTGGATGGGTGACCAAAAATCTTCTATCTCGAGTTCCTCAGTGCTTCGGAAGGCACGTTAAGCCGTTGGTTCCTGCTGTATCTTCAATTGTAAGCACCCGCCAATCCGCACTGGGCCCGTGTGGTGGGTCATGGCCCAATCTCCCTATTCCATCCATAGGGAAGGCCTGTGCCCCAGCAGTGGGAACATTTATAGGCTGATGATGATAAGTGAGATTGTATCTAACAGAATCGACATGCTGTTCAGTTTTACGCTTGGGTAGGGGGTGCGGTGGCCGGTAGTGGGGGCGGGGCGTCGGCCAATGGGAGAGGTTTAGCCACTCCGATACGGACTACGCCACGCGGTGCGCCTTTCAACGCTGCCACTGCTTGTTCTAAGCTTGCATCTTCTAAGTTCTGCAATAAAAACAACTAATGTTAGAGGGAGATAAAGTAAAATATGAAAACCAGTGCTGATGACAACATCAGCACCATGCTGAGTTGGGACCGATTTGAGACCAAAAAAATATGTGTATGTTTTGTTTATGTATTCTCTTACTGTTGTTTTGTCTGAAAAAAAATATTTTTCGTTCTTTCTTTCAAAACCTTATCATAGGAATTAATATCATGCGTGTTACGAGAGATTAGTTCGTACTGGTACAAAGGAACCCACTCTGGCACCTGGCTTGTGTTAAACAAAATGTCGTGCAAAATAAAACCATTCTGTAGAGCTTCTACATTTCCAATTTTAGATCTTAGTAAAGTAATCATTGCGTCGTTACACAACAAAAGGACAAATTATCTAAAAGCAACTAGATTGCATGTTACAGAATCGACATGCTACAGTCCGACTGAATAAAATCAACAATGACAAATGCAGTTACTAACAAATCATAAAATTATGACAGTAATAATGAATTTTATATGGCGCCATACAAGACGCAGCAAATTATTCCATTCTACGTGATGTTAAATAATTGTAAGAGGATTCCAGTTATGAGATAGGTGATGCGGCAGAAAAGGAATACCGCTTCGGCCATCTTCACCTTGCTGGCCTGTATCCAATCCCCGACCCACTCCACAATGGAACCTTTCTCACCAATAGAAACAATACCACCGAAATTTTGTATAATTTGAGTAGGATTTTGTAAGGTGGAAGTTACTTCCCCAGTCAAGCGCTAGAATTCGAGAAAAAAATCCCTATATCATTTATTCCCACAACAGAAAAACTGTTTTTTTCTTCCTACCTCCTCATTTTGCTTGTCTAACTGGAGGGGGCCTACCCATCCCATCCTATTCGAAAAAAATAAATTATTGTAGTGAAATTATTAAGAATCTTATATACATGAAAAAGACAATAAATACCTGGTCATTGACGAAAAGCAACCGATCGCCGGGTATAAGCCGACCGTCTTGTTGCGCGACGCCGCCCGGCACTAGCGAGCGGATCACGACCAGCGTGTGGGAAGGCCGCAACGGATCTTGGTAGTCGAGAATCGAAAATCCGAGCCCGCGTTCGCCTTTCACTAGTTCTGTACAAATAAAAAAAAACAAAATAGCTAATAATGGATAAAAAATTAAAACGTTTACATCAGAGATGATTTTTTTTCCGAGAGTTTGTACAAAATATTATTATTATTTTATTTATACATAAATCTAACCAGTGGGTGCCCGGGGTCTTCGTCTGTGTGGAAAAATTTGTTTCGCAAACATTCTCCGCCCTGTTCAGTACGTTATAGGATTATTTAAAAATAAAACTACCCTTTGTCCTTTCCCGGGACTCAGAAGTATCTATATACCTAATTACATTTCAATCGATTCGGCGGTTTAGGCATGGATAGGTAATCTGTTACCTATCTATTCTTAAACCGCCGAATCGATTTCGACAGACAAACACAATTTCATATTTATAATGTTAGTTTGGATGCCAGCATTCGCCATTACTATTCGTATTTGCTACAATCGTACCACGATAACTCTGCAGTGAACTGACAATAGCAAAAATTTAAACTTGGCACATGACGGTACTGATTATAGTTTAATAAACTATCCCTGAAGTTCTCAATTATATTATACATGTGATACATTATAGTCTAGAGCTCGTTGAGTAGGATATAAATATTGTTACGTGTCGGGACGGGGTTCAAAAGTATAGTGCCAGTTCACGCTTAACAATTCTTTATTCACTACATAGTTCACAGTAAACACTCAATATTATTCACAATGCACTCACTGTACTGTTCACTATAGAAAAGGTGTTTTTAAATGGTTTCTGCCACAGGGTCTATCTTAAAATCGAAACTAGTTAAGAATGTGAAAGTTTGGTATATATGATGTGCATATAGCACATCATAAACCAAAATTTTAATTTCAAAATCTGTATTTAAACAACAAATACTAAACAGTTATATTAGGTAGCTTCAATTACATGGTTATTTTATTGCATATTAATTAGGTGAAGATCTCCGAGTTCTTGTTGTCGTTTGATTCTGTTGAGTACTTTGGGAGACTAAACAAGGAAACTCCTCAGTTACAAACAGTACATAAAACGGGTAATGCATTCCAGCTAGGAGCTAATAATAAATTGCTCCTAGCATGCCATACTTAGACGATGTTATTTTGCGTTTATGGCTTATAACAAGTTAAAAACAGAAACTGATTTTTGTCAAAATTCGTTTTATTGTTGTTACATTTCCGTGATCTCCTCTTCTTTCCTCTCCACAAATAAAAAATTGATCTTCAAACGAAAGATGACATGAGACATGAGACATGACATGACCATTTTTGACATTTATGAATCTGAATTGAATTGATGAATTCAATATGACGTCCTAAAAGGGCTGCTCGATCAAGTTATTCTGGTGTGACTACATTATTCACTCTGCAAAGTTATCGTGGCCCGACTGTAATAGTAAATTTAACAGCAGTCTCTCAATTTTTTCCACGTATAGATGATAAGGATAAAATGTTGAAAATATACAAATACGAATAGCCGTGTGAAGTGCTAGCATAAAATAAGAATGTTTTATAGAATATCTTAATCAGTAGAATCATTTTGGAAATAAATTCTTACTGCTGCGCTCTCTTGCGAGTTAATCATAACGACAAGACATTCTAAAAACCATCGCTGATGAATCACAGACCCTTAATAAAAGAATGGTAACTAAATAGTCGGACCATTTTCTAGATTAATGGTAACATTCGATTTAGTTTGTTTTACTGACCCATCGGCGAGGAACCAGCGCAACTTCCATTTAAAAACCATAGCAGATATTATATTGCAAACTTTTACTAAAAACCGATATCAAAATATTTGCTAACTGTCAAGTACACATCATCGTCATCAGCCTATTAACGTCCCACAGCTGGGGCACAGCCCTTCCCTGCGAAAGGAATAGGGAAATTGGACTATGACCCACCACGAAGGCCCACTAGGGATTATTAGAAGGGTGATAACGACTGCAGATGCAGCCGGGACCAACAAATTCACACGCTTCCTAGAGACGAAGGTGCTCGAGCTTATAAATTTTTGGTCACCCATCCTGTCCCATCTATAGCGAAAGTTGCTAACTTCCACTATCACAGACGGAACGCGCTTAGCCCTGGTGCCATCAAGCTTATCAGTGCGCACACATACACAAGCTAAAATAGCCTCTCACCTTAAACATGTACCTACTCCGTTCTGGGTAAGAAAGCAATTTATGTACCTATGCAGAAAATGATATATAAAAACATATCCAATTACACATTTTTAAGATATTTATTATGATAGTAAATACCATAATATATGTTTTTTTGTTTTTTAAGCATTTACCTGCTAGATGTTTAAATCTAAAGAAAAGTTTACTAGAAAAAAAATCCACGCGGACCAGGCAGCAGACGGGACTCGAACCCGTACCCTTCGCTATCCTGGCGAATGCACTGACCATTATGCTACCACGGCCCTAACGGCCGTGTCGAATTTTTCTCTTAGGCTGCAAGACAGCGTCATCTCTTCCCATTGTAGGTAAACCACAATGTCAAATGAATACTTTTACAAGTATTAAACATTTGAAAGAAGAAATAGCAATAATAGTTATGTTTTGACCACGCCGAGCTGAGGGCCGCGGTATAATGGTCAGTGCATTCGCCCGGATATCGAAGGGTGCGAGTTCGAGTCCCGTCTGCTGCCTGGTCCGCGTGGTTTTTTTTTTCTAGTAAACTTTTCTTGAGATTTAAACATCTTGCAGTTAAATACTTCGAAATAAAAAACATCACTATAATTTCTATTTATTCTTTCAAATGTTTAATTATTGTAAAAGTATTCATTTGACATTGTGGGTTACCTACAATGCGCAATGCGAAGAGATGGCGCTGCCTTGCAGCCTAAGGCTAGAGAAAAATTCGACACGGCCGTCAGGGCCGCGGTAGCATAATGGACAGTGCATTCGCCCGGATAGCGAAGGGCGCAGGTTCGAGTCCCGTCTGTTGCCTGGTCCCAGTGGATTTTTTTCTAGTAAACTTTTCTTTAGATATAAATATCATATTTTTTCAATATCCTATAGTTTTCTTTAGCTCAATAATACCTACAAGGCTTTGTCAATGTGTAAAAAGACTATTGAAAGAATATCTTTACATTTTCATCAATATTCAATGAATAAGTATCTTCTATGAAGCAAAAAAAAACACATCATAAACATAATAAAACTTATCGAAATTTTAAACTCACATCTAACCTTGGGGGGTTAAGGATTTACATTGATAACTGGATTAGCATGAATTAAGATTATAATCTATGGCTTATTCACTTGGCTTTAAACAAGTTTTCTGCTATCTAAATACGTCAACATGAAAATATTTATCGTATTATATAATTAAGATACTTTTAATCCATTTGAATAGATGGAATGCCACAGGATTATATTAATCCACGTAAACATAGTCGCGGGTGTCCATATTTTAATACGGGCAAGGTAACCGAAACCATATATATATATATATTAATATTATAAATGCGGAAATCTCTGTCTGTTACTTTGTATTACCCAGAACAATTTATCTTGAAATAAAAGAAAAAAAGAAAAAGATTTTAACTAACCCCCATTACACAGTAAATCGTAAAAAAGAAAATATAAAATAGCAATAATAATAAAGGTCCAGGACCGTCTCAGCATGAGCTGGTGCGACGATGGTGCGACATCAATGTGAATCGTAACAACTCACAGAGGTAAGGCCTTATCTTTTAAAGAAATTTGAGTCTATAGAAGCATATTCGTACACACTTTGCAATGTGTCTCTCAAAATTCAGGTGGCAATCAAAAGTCGGACCCAGATTTGTGGCCGCATGGACACGTTGAATAAGTTCATCATTTAGTGTGATGTTCAGGGAACACCATCAAGATTCTTTATATTACTCTTTGATCCTATCAGTATGTGTTTTGTCTTTTTGGGGTCGAGGACAAGGCAATTAGACCTGCACCAGGCAGATATATGTGCCAAATCCTCATTTACCTTTTGCAGTGCACTTGCCCAATCATTAGGTGGGAAAGATAAATACAGTTGCAGATAATCGGCATAAAGACGGTATTTGAAATACTTCATAGCTTTTACTAAGTCAGCGCTGTACAGGATGTAAAGAGTTGGACCAAGAATGGATCCCTGTGGAACTCCGCGGAGGACTGGGAGAAGAGTAGAACACTTTCTTACTCCATTGGGATTCGACAGTTCGACATACTGATGCCGGTCTGACAGATAACTGTCAAACCAATGAACAGTATTATCGTCAACCCCATAGTATGATAATTTCGACAGGAGAGTAGTATATAAAGTGTCAAAGGCACGTGAGAAGTCAAGTAGGACTAAGATGCTTACGTTTCCCGGATCCTGAGCAGTAAGGTCATCCATAACAACGATCAGTACTGTAACTGTACTATGTCCTCTACGAAAGCCAGACTGAGTAAGTGGGAGGATATTATTGTTCACAAGATATTCTGTGTGGTATGTTATCTACTCTGTCTAATATTTTTGAGACAAATGGTAACAAGCTGATAGGGCGAAGACCCTGCAAGCCTAACAAGTATTGAGATACAGCGGAGAAAAGCCACGCACTTCTAGATGACACTTTTGTTGAGGTTGTAAACAGACACCTTTTTATGAATTGAAGCGTCGTTGCACAGTTCTTTGTGTGTCAAAAAGGTTTTATATTTAGGAAACGCTTAGATATTTGTTTCTGCTGGTTAAATTTTGTTTGCTATAATATATGCTCATTTTTTGCATTTCAATTATGTAAGAACTTTGGAAAACGGAACGTTCGGAAATAATATCGAAGCACCGGTAAGGCAACCTCGACCAAGCCCTGAAGGCTTGTGCTTTCAGGAATGAATTATGACAGCTAATGTCATGCCTTTTGTCGTTATTCGGTGGAAATGACTATCATTTGGATCATTTCATTTTAGAAGATTGGCCGAATTGCAAAGACACAATCACAAGCCATAAAATAAAATAATTTTTGACGCGGCCCGTGTTGATCGTATTTTTTAAAGGAAAATAAAAATTATTTTGAGGTCAAGTGCTGAGTGCTGTGCCCACAAACTTCAGCCAGACTATTTGTGAGATCGGGTGGAGAGAAGCAGGCGGTTGAATGCCCTGTGAAACAGGAGCAAGATCAGCCGACAACCTATGACGGGAATTATAAATTAATAACATACACAATCAGGTCATAAGGATTGTCTGTAACACAGTAAAAACTTTTCTTTTAGAATGCTGGCCACAAAAAAGTTTATTGAATTCGAATTTCGAATTGTTCATGAAAATAAAAATGTATACTTCTAAGAATTTTACTCATTTTTAAATATGGAGTGGACGTGCTGCAGTTATTGCGTTGCATCGTTGCGGTTACGCGCCAATTCAAATTTTTGACACACTGAAAATTTTGAATATAGCCAATAGATTCGTTTATCGTACCATCAAACGATACAATGAAGACTCTAGTGTAGATAACAGGTCAAGAAGTGGTCGCCCTCGGTCTGTTAGGACTCCAGCAGTGATAAAAGCTGTGAAGGCGCGAATTCAAAGAAATCCCAAACGTAAGCAGAAACTGTTGGCCTTTCAGATGGGGTTAAGCAGAACCACGGTGAAAAGGGTAAATGAAAACTCAGGGCTTCGGGCATATCGAAGAAAAACAGGTCATCGTTTGAATGCTCGTCTAATGGACCTGAGACTGAAGAGATGCCGCGCTTTGTTGAAACGGTACGCGGGAAAAAAATATCGGGAAATTCCTTTTACCGGATAAAAAAAAAATTACCATAGAAGAGAGCTACAACAAACAAAATGATAAGGTGTACGCACACAGTAGTGAAGAAGCGAGCAACCGTATCTGCGTGTCCAACGAGGTCATTTTCCATCCTCGCTCATGGTATGGTTGGGAGATTGTTATTGGGGTTTAACAGATGTACATTTTTGTGAGAAAGGTGTTTAAACGAATGCAGTTGTGTATCAAAATACAGTCCTGACGAACCTTGTGGAACCTGTTTCTCATACCATGTTTAATAATAGGCACTGGATATTCCAACAAGATTCAGCGCCAGCTCATAGAGCGAAGAGCACACAAGACTGGTTGGGGCGGCGCGTGAAATCGACTTCATACGGCACGAAGACTGGCCCTCCTCCAGTCCAGATTTGAGTCCGTTAGATAACAAGATATGGCAACACTTGGAGGAAAAGGCGTGCTCAAAGCCTCATCCCAATTTGGAGTCACTCAAGACATCCTTGATTAAGGCAGCCGCCGATATTGACATGGACCTCGTTCGTGCTGCGATAGACGACTGGCTGCGCATATTGAAGGCCTGAATTCAAAATCACGGAGGTCATTTTGAATAAACTTTATTGTCATAAGAATCAATGTTTTGTTAAGTTCATTTTGGTATATAAATGGTGACATAATGAATAAACTTGTTTCAATTATTTTATATTAAACATGTGACAGAATTTATGACCTAACTAGGTATATTAGTTTATTGGCTTGGAATTGGTACCATAAGGACGGGGTCTACCAGGGCCACGTCACCTGCACGGGCTGGTTGCCAACCACCACCTTTTAACTCCCGAAGATCAGGGAGGGGCACTGAATATGCTCTCCTAAGTATTTGGTGCCAAAGAGCGGAACACACGAGGTCGGTGCATCTTGCTTTTTAATTAGTTTAGTATGAGTATGAACCGTGGTGTCTCCATTTAGGGATTGATCTTTATTTAATACTAGCGGCCCGCCCTCGCTTCGCTTCGGTGTAGAGCTGAAGCGTAGACTACAGTTTTTGTTCTCAGGCTTGTTTTATACACAATGACATTCATCTATGATTATTCTTATACCTGCATGCAAAGTCTCAGCCCGTTCGGTTTTAAAATTGACAAAGTTTCATACAAACTTTCATTCCCTATTTTATCCCCTTGGGGGTAGAATTGATCAAAATCCTTTCTTAGCGGATGCCTACGTCATAACATCTACCTGCATGCCAAATTTCAGCCCGATCCGTCCAGTGGTTTAGGCTGGGCGTTGATAGATTACTACGTCAGTCAGTCACCTTTGAGTTATATATATATAGATTATAAAAAAACTGAAGATGGTATATTTATCTTTTCCAAACTTCTATTGACATCACGTCGCTCAATTGTTTTGCCTTCCCAGAATCTCTCCACTAACATTTGAAACTTATGGTTTGGTATTAAAGTTCAAATTGACTTTTAAGTATTATTACGAATCGTTTGTATGGAAGTAAAGAAAAGTATTGTTTTTTGACATTTTCAGGCATTTTTTTTAATTTTTCTCTTCGTAAGAACCATACTCGTACTTCAAGGAATATTCTAAAAAAAAAATCAGCCAAATCGGTCAAGCCGTTTTCATGTTATGTCGTGACAACGGAAAACGGGTTTCATTTTTATATATATAGATTAGCTGTGCTCTATTAGGGATATTTTCCCGCAGTAAAACTTAACCTATATTTAATCCAGGGTGACAGCTAACTCAATACCAACGTTTATTAAAATCGCTCCAGCCATTTAGACGTGAAGAAGTGACGAACATACACACAAACTTTCGCCTTTATATAAGTGTGATATGACCAACCCTTACTTATGCGGCCCATCACACAACATCCATTGAACTCATTGAAGCGACCCCTATCGGACCTAGTGTTCTTTTAGTTGTTCTTTTGTTATAAAATGTAGACCAAAGTAATTTACAATATAGACCGTTCAACCTATACCCTATCTTTTATTTTCACACCTGTAGTTTACTTTTACTTGGCCTGGTGGCTCTGGCAGCCTCCATACTTATTGATCGAAGCGCCAGTAGCGCCATCTCTTGATGAGGCGAGTGATTAGTTCCTCCATGTTGGCGTGTAGATGTCGCCGCCACATGCAATATTTGGATGAATGAAAAACGGGAATATTTTGTAAGAAAAATAAAACAAAATATAAGTTTCATTCAGGTCTTACCAATAATCTGCGGTTCTGAAGACCACATAGCGAGTCCAGTTAGGGGCTCGAGGCTTCGTGAACGAACTTTGCCGCCCGCTGACAGCGACCCGCCCTCTTCTGCGCCTGCACCCGCTAAACTACCGTCCGATTTAGCCTGTACAAAAACCGCTAATTTGTTATTCTTAAAAAAAACTGGTGCAAGCATGAGATGACTACCTTGATGGCGGGCAATTTTTAGCTCCTCAACTTTAAATGCAGTTATCTAAATATAAAGGTCAAAAGCTTAATTTTTGAGATTACGTACTGTTCGTATTCTATATCTTTTCTATTTTATACAATGTATAATATACATTATGTATCTTTAAAGTAATATTACATGTTATGTGAATTGTATTTCTTTTCTATTGTATAAGCATCGTTAACATTATATAGATTGAAACACGAGAGGCCAACATCCTTTAATTTAAGCTTTTCTGAAATAATGTGACTTGAATATCTGTCATTGTTCTACCGTACAATAATAATAAATATTATCGTTAATGGTTAATGCAGGGTGAAAGGAAAACTCGTCAAATGCGTTGAATGTTTGGGAATAGCTACAATAGGGATGATGACAATTTTTTTTTCTTCGTTTATCAGGTAGATTATCAAAAAGTATTGGACACGTATTTTTTCTTTTTTCACATAATATAAACTTTGCAGAGATATATTGATTTGAAAAGTCGCATGACGTCACGTTTGAGTACACTTTTAAGTGAAAATTCACTCAAAAGTGACGTCACGAGCCCCTACTCCCAAACTTTGCGGCTCCATAACTTTGTCATTTTTTGGTTGATTGCCCAAAGAAAAAATACGTGCCCATTATTTTTTGATCATCTAACTGACGGACTGAATAGAATTTCGTTTAGTGTACCCCGTCATCACCCCTATTTCAGGTCTTTTTAATGTCACTTTTTTAATTATGATTTTGTAAGCGTATAAAATTCGACCTACTGAAAAACCTTTTCATGCTTTCTTAACTCACGCAGCACTGCTCTATGAAATAACATGAAACAAACACGCGGAGGGGGCGCCCGCTTCACGCTCCCGCTTAACGTAGCGCAGGCTCTTAGGTTACCAATTGTATTTTTTCATTCTTTTTAAACATTTCCCAAATATTAAATATTTAAACAGTCGAGAAAGTTAATGTTGTATTAAAATAGAAGTTATAATGACATACCTTGACAAGGGTAGCAGAAGGCGGGGCCAGTTCTAACGCGGGCTGTGGCTTGGGCCGGGCGCAGACCATGCACACCTCACTCGATAGCTCCTTTAATATCGACACCACTTCCAAGTGGTTCATGCCCAGCAAACGGTGCCCATTCACCTCTGAACAATCAATATGGACATTAGGAAATCATAATTTAAAGGTTTCCCGTAAAAATAATTAAAATTGGCCACAAAGTAAAGAAGCCATCAAAATTTAAAACATACTGTTAAGCACAATACCCACTCTTTGCGTTGCTTGCGTCGCACAGTCGGGTAAAACCAGTGTTGCGGAGTCGGTAAGTGGTCTGATAACATTTGTAGTGCTTACGGATTTTCGTCGTCTGGAGCATAATTGGGTATTTTATCTCCTTCTGCGATTCCATTCATTTCATAGTTTAGAAAGAAATTAGTTATACTACATCGGCACTTTAGCTTTGAAGTGGAGGATTTAAACTTAGCCAATTAAGTCATTGTTGTGTAGAATATTTTCTTCTTCTACTATGACCAGATAGCTATAGTAACCTCGTTACCAAAATTCTATTTATTTTGACAGTTGGCTGTCCTTAAATCACTGTATTCTGACAGCCGAAGGTTTTGAAATACCTCATACTCATTTTCTTTAACATTGTCATTACCACCGCTAAAAGAGCGCGATGCATTTGAAAACCTTCGGCGGCTAGAAATAACAAAATGAAATCTTAAGCTATACCGATAGCCAAAGCAATCCCGATAGGCGATAGGCCCCCTGGTCCTTCGGGCAATGCGGATCGCAAGTGGTGATGAAGACACACTTTCCAGTCCCCTTTCTCATCTGAAGTGACTTATAAAAGTCTGTTTAGGAGTTTACCTTACTCAGCAGTTCGTCTCCTGCTCCTCTAGCATTTGGTCATGCTAGGGGGGCATGTCGATGTACGCCAGCACTATCAAATTGATTGAATGTGATGATGCGGATGCACTTCACTAATCTCATATTGTTTTGAACTTTCATGGTCTACTAACATTATAGTAATATAAGATTGTTACCATGAAACTTGTTTTTAGCGAGTTTTTTATTTCGGCACTGTTTCAAGCGCCATGATCACGGAGTAACTGAAGTAATTGCGGGTAGGCTGTTATCGGCAGACATATCGGTCTACCCTCCGACGAAGTCTTTTATTGCGTTCGATACCCGTACCACTGCTCACATTCTCACTATTCACTCGAAACTGTTCTCGACACACAACACTTACAGTATCGGATCGCGACACGACACTTTTTTCGATTATTTCCGGTTTTACACATACGAACCACAGGATTCCAGACACTCGACAATTTAAACCCGTCCTCACGATTGAAAATTTTATGTTTTGTTATTTCAATCGCTTCCCTGACGAATCTTGGTATTTAGTAGCGTTTTGTCGAGATAATCTGGGGGTTATGAAACCCAATCCAGTGGTTAGGACCAAAATCAATCAAATGTTCCGCAATGGCTTATTTCTGCGTGTCGTTGTTCTTGATTGCTATTATGTGTTCCCTCATTCGGCATGCTACTGTTCGCTTTGTTTGGCCATTGTACAAACTGCCACAGCTGCAATCGATCTTATAGACACCAGGTTTCTCCAAGGGGAAGTTGTCTTTAGGAGACCGTAGGTATTGTGAAACCTTTCGTAAAGGAGTGAAGACACTGTTTAGTGGGTACTTATTCAGTATGTTTTGAGATTTTTTCAGTCACTCCTTTGACATATGGCAAATAAACAGGTTGTCTGTCTACTCTGTGTCTCTGGTGTCTCGAATCTGTTACTTTAATCCAATAAAGTCGAGTTTATCAAACCCAGCAATTCATCTCCTGCCGGCCTATTCCCTAACTTTTTTGTCATGTACAGTGTGTAACTAAAGAGAAAATTCCTTATCCATCGATGCTTTTTAGAACAAGTATCGCAGTGGCGTTTTAATAAAGCAGTAGTGGATCACTAAATAGTTCGGTGATGATCACTTTCACCTGTCAAAAGCAGTTAGCGAATAGGCCTGCAGGTCAATGCACTCCAGCGCGGCTTACTGGTCCTTTAGGCAGTACGGATCGCACGTAGTGACGCGGACAAACTTCACAACCCTCTTCCTCGTCAACTGTACCTTAAAAGAAGACCTGCCTTCGACGCGAATCTGTCAGGGAGACTATCGTACCTAACAGTTCGTCTCCTGGTCGATGCACTCCAGCGCGGCCTACTGGTCCTTCAGGCAGTACGGATCGCACGTAGTGATGCGGACGAACTTCACGACCCCCTTCCACGTCCACTGTGCCTTCCAAGGATATGCCCAACCCACCTCCGCCGCGAACTACTACGCCAACTACGATTTCGACATCGGAACCTGATAAAAACAATTTAACAATGCTCAAAACAGTCGATAATAGGCGTCATGATGAACTGAACTGTAATTGTCGTGAATATCAGCGCTTGGGAATCGGTACAGACACGAAAACAAAACTTGTTTTCGTTTCATGTTATAGTTCCTGGTCAAGCCCTTGAAAAACTTTATTATCATTTTTTAATACTCAATAAATGAATATAAATATGTATACACAGCGTAATCTTTAAAATATAAATTATGCTCATCAAAGTAGTCCAAGGAACATAACCTTTTTTGAACTTTTTGACAATTTTCTATACATTATATTCTTCTTCTTATTCACACCTCAGCATACGTCTCCTTACCTTTAGCGAGATGGAATAATTCCGCGGCGCTCGAGATTCCAGTTCATTCTTGATTAGGTTCCTTAACCAAGATTTCTTCCTGCGACCGACGCCTCGTTTTCTAGCAGCTTTGCCCATCATTATTATTTATATACTTTTATTTCATTGGTTATTATAACCAATGTTATTTATTAGTGACTAAAGCAAGATTTTTTTTTTAAATAAATTATACAGTTTATAACGATAACATACAATATCAACTGATAAAACTAGTAGTTAGCGTAAATGTTGCATGTTGCTCAGACTTTTTTGATGTGTGACACTGTTATTGGAATAACAATTACTTACCAAGTATAGCCTGCCATTTCCGTTTCATGGCGTCCTTCTGTTCCTGCGTGCGCGGCATCTCGAAGGGCGGGTGGGAGCGTTGCACGGGCGGTGTCGGCGGCGAACGGGACGCGGACGGTGAAACTTCCTAAACCACGCTGTCTACACTGTTATTGGAATAACAATTACTTACCAAGTATAGCCTGCCATTTCCGTTTCATGGCGTCCTTCTGTTCCTGCGTGCGCGGCATCTCGAAGGGCGGGTGGGAGCATTGCACGGGCGGTGTCGGCGGCGAACGGGGCGCGGACGGTGAACTTCCTAAACCGCGCTGTCTACACTGTTATTGGAATAAAAATTACTTACTAAGTATAGCTTGCCATTTCCGTTTGATGGCGTCCTTCTGTTCCTGCGGGCGCGGCATCCGAAGGGCGGGTGGGAGCGTTGCGCGGGCGGCGTCGGCGGCGAACGGGGCGCGGACGGTGAAACTTCCTAAACCGCGCTGTCTACGCTGTTATTGGAATAAAAATAACTTACCAAGTATAGCTTGCCATTTCCGTTTGATGGCATCCTTCTGTTCCTGCGTGCGCGGCATCTCGAAGGGCGGGTGGGAGCGTTGCGAGGGCGGCGTCGGCGGTGAACGGGGCGGCGACGGTGAAACTTCCTCCACCGCGCTGTCTACGCTGTTATCGGAATAGCAATAAGGATGGTTTTAATTGCACCAATTGCAAGTTAACACCAATGACTGACAAGAACCAATAATCCACATTTCCTTCCGTGATCAATGAAAACAAGAGTAGGCAGCCGTTCACTAAATGTGGTATCACTTTGCGTCTATGGCTAGATGTTATCACTTTCAGCGATCGGCTACTAACTCCTACTTTCATTGCTCCTGTGGTCATTCGTGCCACTACCTTAGTAGTGCTGCTTACAGTACATCATATATATTGGACACTCGGTAGGCCTATTTGCCTTTTGACTAATTTTAATGGTATTGCAGATGGTAACAATGGCCGTGATAAATCAAGATGTTGAGTATGCTGCTGACATAATTATCGCGACCCGCTACGTGATATGGAAGTGTGTCATTTGTATGTCGTGGGCGGGGCGTGTACAGGCGAGGGTAGGGGTAGGAGGGTAGGATACAGTCAATACTGCACATGCATGCCCTAAAATCTACGTACGAGGTTTTAGGTATGTCATTTGTATGTCGTGGTCGACGGGCGGCTCCGGTCGATGCATGTGCAGGAAGGGGTTGTTGCTGCACTCTCGCCCGCCACTGTCGTTTGCTGCATAACCTATCGTTTATGGGCATTACGTACGAGGTGTGTAGGTTTGTCATCTGTATGTCGTGATCGACGGGCGCGCTCCGGTCGATGCATGTGCAGGAAGGGGTTGTTGCTGCACTCTCACCCGCCGATATCGGTTGCTGCAAAACCTATCGTATCGCACCTTTAGAATTGAAGTGACTTAAATAAAAAAAAATTACTTGTACAGACTGGTTTAGTAAACAATCGTGAAAACAATCCTTATCCTACCTTTAACAATAAAAAATATGATAATAAACGTATAACTTATAGCATTATAATAGAAAAACAAAAAAAATGGCCAACTTGTCAATCACATTTTTAGCATTTACCAAAAAAGTAGAATTTTGGATTAGGTCACTTCAATTCTAAAGGTGCGATGGGCACATCGTACGAGGTGTGTAGCTGTGTCATCTGTTTGTCGTGGTCGACGGGCGGCTCCGGTCGATGAATGTGCAGGATGGAGTTGTTGCTGCACTCTCGGCCGCCGATATCGGTTGCTGCATAACCTATCGTATATGGGCACTACGTACGAGGTGTGTAGGTGTGTCATCTGTATGGCGTGGTCGACGGGCGGCTCCGGTCGATGCATGTGCAGGAAGGGGTTGTTGCTGCACTCTCGGCCGCCGATATCGGTTGCTGCATAGCCTATCGTATATGGGCACTATGTACGAGGTGTGTAGGTGTGTCATCTGTATGTCGTGGTCGACGGGCGGCTGCGGTCGATGCATGTGCAGGAATAGGTTGTTGTTGCACTCTCGCCCACCGATATCGGTTGCTGCATAACCTATCGTATATGGGCACTACGTACGAGGTGTGGAGATACGTCATCTGTATGTCATGGTCGACGGGCGGCTCCGGTCGACGCATGTGCAGGAAGAGGTTGTTGCTGCACTCTCGCCCGCCGATATCGCTTGCTGTATAACCTATCGTATATGGGCAATACGTACGAGGTGTGTAGGTGTGTCATCTGTATGTCGTGGTCGACGGGCGGCTCCGGTCGATGCATGTGCAGGAAGGGGTTGTGGGGCGCCGCCACTGCTGCACTCTCGCCCGCCGCTATAGCTTGCTGCAGCTGTTCGAACTTTGGCCCGCGGAGGTATCTGTAACAATCAACGCTTAGCATTATTTGCTTTTCGGCCACGGTTTTATACCACTTGCCAAATAGCAAAAATTCGCAGAGCATCAATAAATATCCATAAAAGTTATTTTGTTTAACTTCTTCGTAGCTATTCACCAACACTTGGGTGATCTCCTCGGTTTTATGACATTTTCGTTCCTTCAAATTCGTCGTGACAACGCGTACTTGGTATCTCTAAGAGGCGTTTTAACCTAACAATTACTATTCCTTTAGTTACCCTTCCAGTACCTTAGCCAAGGAATCACGCTTTTTAGCGATAAAAAAATAAAGCAATAGTAGTTCTTTATAGTCCAAAGCCTACAATTAGTCTTTTGACGGATAAACTGTCAAGAACCTATTATTATTTAAATTTATTTTCACATCGATTTTTCGGTACATAAAAATTTCTAATGATCATTTTAGAGTCATAATACCTCTCCAGTTCCAAAGTGACGACATTCCCGCTTGTTGACCCTCACCCGAGTCACTCACCTCTCTTATTTCCAGAGTGACTACATTTACGCTCTGTTTCAGTGCGTCGATGGCGCGTTGGTTAGACTTCCCTGCGAGCGAGACGCCGTCGACGGCGAGGAAGCGGTTGTTAACCCTGACCCGAGTCACTCACCTCTCTAGTTCTAGAGTGACGACATTCCCGCTCTGTTTCAGCGCGTCGACGGCGCGTTGGTTCTACTTGCCGGCGAGCAAGACGCCGTCGACGGCGACGATAATTACGGACATTGACCCTCGTCCGAGTCACGCACCTCTCCAGTTCCAGAGTGACGACATTCCCGCTCTGTTTCAGCGCGTCGACGGCGCGTTGGTTTGACTTGCCGGCGAGCGAGACGCCGTCGACGGCGACAATGCGGTCATTGACCCTCACCCGCCCGCTCATGGCCGCCGCGCTGCCCGCCGTCACTGACTTCACGAATATACCAGACAACTCCTCCTTCTCGCAGACGTATCCTACAAAAGAAAACTATCATATTAATATGCTTTTATTTTAAGCATTAAACTGCTAGACTATTAGTCTATTATGTATCTAAAGGAAAAAAAAACTTTAGTAGCCTGCATTTACAAAATATGTATGTACAGCACAATACCAACGCAATGGTGGCTGTGGAGTTGGCGTAAGTCGCGGCGCAATTGACAAGTGTAGGTATGCCTAAAGGGAAGATCTTCCTTCGAGCTGGGTGATCTTAGCTCGGGGACCGCAACCCGACATTCGACAGTTATTGTGGACGCGCTCTGTACATATCTTGTGTGTGCCTCCAGATTTCGTTAGCGCGATTTAGTTAGCGGAGTGCTCGGTCAATAGCGCTATCTGTTGATGGAGTATTAAATCTGCTTCGGCGACACCGGAAGTAGCGATATCTACACAGATGTCGCTGCCACATAAGTGTGAGCAAGCTCTTAACTGTACTTGCATGTGCGTAGTTGCGCTCGCTGCTAACTTCACACACAACCACCGTAAATTTTAATTGCACTATACAACGTTTATAAGAAACATCCAATCCTATTTACAGAAGAGTTCAAAATTTCTACACACACTACAGATAGGGTTTTTTTCTACAGTGAGTAACATTGTTCCTAAAAACTGCAAAGGAATTGTGTCCAGGCTAACAAAGTGATGTTGATTAAAGTAGCATGATTTGCTACCATAAGAGCAGCTATCTTCGCAACTGGTTCTTATCACATATACTAAACATCAGGTGGTGTGTCTGTCACGCAAGCACGCACTTGTTACGTTGTCCTCCAATATTTTGCAGTTATAGAGTGTATTTTCATTTTAATAAATTGTTTTATCTACACTCATGTTGAAATATTCGAATTACGAATTTAAAACTGGTTTTAACAGATGAACTTTATAGGCGCACATATACAAAATTATAAATAAAACTCCTTTAGTATTGCTAGCTATATCGTAAAATAAAGTTTTTAATATTTATAGTACACTTTTATTTTTAAACACTCTCGTGTGTTAATGCCCCTTCTTAAATGACAGCCAGATAAACTAATATTATGTTTGCATGCAATTTACTATTAACACACTAAAGTACATTACAAAGAATATATAAAAAAGCTTGATAGTACATCCTTTGCCTACTTACCAGCAATAGTGATTCCTAGACCATTCTCGTCTTTTTTTAATTGCACTGTAAATCTGTCGACTTCTGGTGATTCAGCATCTACACGAAAAACCAATATAGTGTCACCAGTAAGAAATAGGTTTATCATAGTTTAATTAAAAGCAAGTCTAGATTTTTAAGGTAAAGTAAGTGTAACTTTCACCAAGTATATTTTATTGGAAATATACAGGGTTACAGGAAGTCGATGTAGATATCGAAGGACATTATTATTTAGCTAATAGGGTATTTGACAGTATTAAAAATAAAGTGCCAATTGTTAGCATCTGTGTTTAAAATGAATATTAGCAGGGGTTCTTACTATTTTTACAAAAAAATATTATTTTACTAATAACACACGAAAAAGATAATAGTTTTCATATCTATTGTCACGTGACCCAAAACGCTTGGGATCGGCGGAGCCTAAAATGACGTCACACGCAAGTAAACTTCCGGTTAAAGTGACATTACATGGTATCGTTTGACGTTTTAATAACAGTCGTGTGACGTCACACACTAGTAAGAAGCCATATTGTCTAGAAAAACGTTTTCGCGGCAACTTGAAAATGGAGTTTTTGATTTGGTTATTTTTACTGAAATACACAACAGAATGACGAACATCCACTTTTTGCGGACTCCATAAACATTAGTCAATAACGTGAGATCGATTTCTAAAATTTGTCAAATACCCTATTGCTGATAGATTCGACCCTATGAACTGTCGAAAAATTGACGTTTTAAAATAAGGGCATTGAATTATTTTCTTAAAAATACAATTTATGTTCTAATTATAATTTTTTTCTTCTCTTTGATCAGTTTTATTAGTTTTTATGTAAAAGGCATTTCAGTTCATAATAAACAATTAAACTGGAAAAAAGTTGCTACATATCTGGTTCAAGTGGCGGCTAATTAACTGTTTCAATATAATTTTTTTCACTGTTTTCCCAACTTTTTCACTGTTTTTGTCTCAGAACATAATCAGTTTCGCGTAATCTTCGATAGATCCATCAAACACCTTAGCATCGCGTACTCTTAAAGCAGGATAGCGTGACATGTACATATTCTTCACGAGCACGCGAACACTCCTTCACAAAACAGTAGCATGTAAGATTATCGAAAAATACCCTTGTTAGTAAACGTTGCCATGATTAAGCCAATTTTCAAGCAATGGTCAAAATCCAGTATAAGAACCAAGTCAACAGTTAGAAGATAGATATAACGACGAAGAGTACGGTATAACACATCTACCAGGGACGAAACACGTGAGAAGACAAAAACAATGGACAGGCTGTGACAGCTAGCTACTATGCTGCTGCTCATAGCTGCCAGTATTGTATGAAGAATCTAATCCTATCATAAAATGCCTATTGAACCTTTTTATTATATTTAGAGTATGTTATTTTTTTAAAAAGTATTGTACAACTGTGACTATTATACCACTTTGGTTAGCTTTAAAACATGTGTAAGTTATTATCACTTGCAGGTTCGGTAACAACTTTATTTAATAATCCTAAGGGAAAGTTGAGAAAACAGAGTGAAAAAATCTACATTCTCACAATTAGTTGTCACTTTAACCAGGGCGCTATTTCACCAAGTCGATATAAGTCACTGACAAGTCGTTGACTTATGTAACATTTTAGTACATTTGTCCATATTTTACTCCAATGATAATATGTTGTAAAACAAGGGTAATTTTTTAAGTGGACATATTTGTCAAATTTCATTTGGGGGGCTTCATTCAGCTTTGCCGCCCCGGGCCTCAGACGAGCTTAGTCCGCCACTGCCGCGAAATCTTAAAAAGATGAGTTCTCATAAATATTGAAAGAATGAATAAATTTCTCTTTTGATATAATATAATAGTCATCACCCCAAAACAAACTGTCGTCTTACATATGTCAGCAACATATCGCACCTCCGGTGTGACACTGTCACTTATGCAAAAATATCATTTTTTCAGGAGAAGCGTTTAAAACTTTAACATCCCAAAACATACAATATTTAAAGATTTTTTTTTAATTTTTTTTTAGATGAATAGCTAAGCTGTATAAGCTTTTCATCACGTAAAAATCTTTAAATATTGTATGTTTTGGGATGTTAAAGTGTTAAACGCTCATCCAGAAAAAAGTTTTTTTTTTTGCATAAGTGGCAGTGTCGCATCGGAGGTGCGATATGTAGATTTGGTGACATAGGGCAGTGATGGCAGCTTTTTCTAGTTTAATTGTTTATTATTATGGACTGACATGCCTTTTCCATAAAAGCAGTAAAAAATCGGATCAAAGAAACGAAAAAAGTTAAAATTAATTTAGAGAAAAAAAATCAAATCCTTTTTTAACGGTTAAGTTTTCGACAACAGTTCTTAGGGTCAAATCTATCAACAGTGTCCTAAAAAGTAATGTACTTATATATCTACATTGACTTTTCATATAACCCTGTATTCATAATCTCATGAATAACCTCGCTTACTAAACCTAACTTAAATATTTACCTGTTTCAGGTGGGGGTGTAATTGACTTGTCAAAGACAAATCGCGTCGCATTGTTGAGTGGCAAAGGCGTCGGCTGTGTGTGGAAAACTTGTTCGAACCCTGCATCTAGCAAGTAACGGTCCAGAGCCTCAGGATCTGATAGCAGTCTGTGGAGCCAATCGTATCAATGTTCAAATTCCATGTTAAGAAAATTTTACTAGAAAAAACATCAGTCAGTAGTTATCATGTAGAATTCGAAATTGTGATCCGCTCGCTATTCACATAACTTAAAATATAAGTAACTGGATACTTGTTGTTATAATGATTTCATGATAAAGGTGTAGTTATAAAAAATACCTAGCATTTTCTAACTTGAAAAGCAATCAATGTTATATATTAAATACACGCCTGGGTGTGGGCCAAAAGTAAAATATAAAATGCGTTTATTTATTGTAAACTTTTTTCTAGTGTAGTAAAAACGAAAAGTTTATTATATTTTTAAGCATTTTACTGCTAGATTTATAAATCTAAAGAAAATATTTACTAGATAAATTCCATTCGGTAAGTCGCTCCACAAAAATTTCTCTAGGCGCTGAAAGCTGCCTTGCAGCCTCAGAAATACAAGAGAAATAAATAGCATTATTGGTTAGTGCGTCCGCCCGGATTGCGGAAAGTGCAGGTTCGATTCCTGCCTGAAACATTTTTTCTTTAAAACTAAAAGTTTATCGTTTTAGTTAAATTTAGTTTAATTCTTTAATTAAATTAAGTTTATTATTTCTGTAAGAAACTGTGCCTTGTAAGAAAGAAAATACATTTATTTTGACACAAACAACGAGACAGTAATACAAGATTTTGAGAACAAAAAAATACAAGAAAAAGCAAAATTATCGTAAACAAACAACGCAAAAAAGTAACACACACTAATAATAACTGTTACAACGGTGATTTATTCTGTCACTATCTCGCGGCTGCGCCAAAACAGGTTGTCAACAGCATGTTGTCAGGTTTGTGGGACCTGACGCTGATTTTCAATTGACACCTATGGTTCTCTTATCTCCGATAATCAGTTCCACAACTGATTATCGGAAAAAAAAAGAAATATAAGAATAAAAAAAAACAGAAACACATACTCGTAAAATTATTTGGAAACATAAATAATTAATACAATTTATCATTTATATCACATTCAATATTATCATACATAAATTAGATACGTGTATATACATTTTATATTGACAGACACGCACTAGGAACAAAATATATATATATTAATATATTTTTACAGCAACCAAACAACACAATACGTAAACTCACAGAAAAAATATATGTATATATAATACACACACACCCTCTCACGCACACACACACACATATATATCTATATAAATGAGGAATCACCGCGATATATGCCCATTTCCCGCTGCGCATCAAGAAGATATTGCTTTAATCGATGTTTAAATGTGTAATTCGAATTGATCTGCCTCAATGGTGGTGGGATATTGTTCCATATTTTGGAGGCTGCACAACGGAAAGCACCCCTAAAAGATGCAGATCTTAGATGCGCAGGCGTAGCCATTTGCTGTGAGCATACTCGCCTTTCACGATCTCTCTGAGCTCCAATCCAGCCAAGCCTCTCGTACAGGTACAGTGGTTCCTGTGTCTTAATCACTCCAAAAAGCAGGCAAGCAAGGTGTAGTTTTCGCCTCGACTTCATCTTCAAGATGAGATGGTTATTAAGGAATGGAGTGATGTGTCCTCTAGCCGGTACAGAGAAGCAAAACCGACCACATGCATTCTGAACTCGCTGAATGAGCCGCTCAGTTCTGCCCAGCAATCTTGGGCCATACACAGCATCAGCGTAATTGAGTTTTGATAGAACCAGCGCCTCAGTCAGCTGCACGCGTTGCTCCTCAGACAGAAAAGGTCTTATTTTGTATAAAACCTTAAGGCGATAAAAGCTATTTTTTACTGATTCCGCTATATGATCCGCAAACCTTAAGCTTTCGTCAAAACTCCAGCTTACGTGCTACCCTTACTCGCTCTATTTTATTCCCCTTCAGGGAAACGCTCAAATCCTCTGGCAGTTTGCTGAGCTGCTTTTTTGTGCCAAATAGCATGTACTTAGTTTTTAAAGGATTTAGCAGCAAACAATTTTTATCAGACCAGTCAACAATTCTGTGAAGGTCGTCATTAAGATCTTTAAGAGCATTCATGTAATCACTTGGTCTGAAACATATATATATTTGAAGGTCGTCAGCATAAATGTGGTATTTACATTTTTGTATACACTTAACAATGTCCGCGCAATAAAAATTAAATAGGATTGGACCCAGAATGGTGCCCTGGGGAACACCCCGATCAAGTGGAATAGGCGTAGAAACACATTTGGATCGATCCGCTAAACTTATCTGTACTGATTGGCTCCGATTGCTTAAGTAGCTATGGAACCATAATAGTGTGCTTCGATCCAAACCATAGGCGGACATTTTGGATAGGAGTAAATCCACATTTATAGCATCAAAGGCGCGGGAGTAATGAAGCAGAACCAATAGTGTGCACATTCCTGCATCCTGGGCAGCCAATATGTTGTCCGTTACATCTATTAATGCCGTGGTTGTACTGCGTTTCCTTCTAAAACTCGATTGCAATGAGGGAAGAATTTTATTAGTTTCTAAAAACTCAGTGAGTTGGACACAAACTAATATTTTATTGTGTGTGTACAAAATAAATAAATAAATAAATAAACTCTTTACAAAATCTTGGAGAGACATGCTTATCGGGCGAAGGTCTTTCAGGCAAACTGGGTTGTTGTTCTTTGGAAGCGGTCGCACTACAGCAGATTTCCAGAGCTCAGGAAATGTCGATGTTATTATAGATTTGCTAATAATACCATAAATACACTGTAAAGTGTGCGGTAAGGTCATAGTCAACATTTTCAGTGACACATTATAACAACCGACAGCGTTCGACTTGAATTTGAGAATTATGCGCAAAACCTCATATTCACTGGGCGGCGCCAAAGTGAACGTTTTATCACATAACCTATGAAATTCAAAATAGGTCAGAGAGGATATAGTGGCGCGGGATGCTCCCGGAACGTTGATAAAATGATAATTTATGCTGTCCACATCACTCAGATGCGAAGGAAGCTCTGCACCTTGATTAGACGGTATTATATATTTTTTTTAAATTTTCCATAACTGTTTCGGATCATATATTTTATTATTAATATTATACTTAAAATAAGCGACTTTTTCACTATGTAACGACGATGTTACTATCGACTTCAACTGTCTATAGTAGTCTTTACTAGATGCAGTCTTATTTTTCCTAAACTCTGCCAAAGCATAGTCACGCATTCTCATCATGAGTCTTATATTATCCGTTATCCACGGTGGGGTCGGTTCTCTTATAACACACTGCCTAATAGGCGCGAGGTGTGTCAAACAAGGATATAATATGTTCATTTAAACACCTTACCATCATTCACACAAGAAAACGAAGACAAAAATATTTCCAACTCAACCCCTCCACGTCAAGGTTCAATTGACTTAAGCATATGTCTTTAAAAGGCCTATACTGCACTACGAGGGGTTTAATTTTATGTTTATTTAAATGAAATTCACACCAAATTACAGCATGGCCGTGCAAGTTACTACCTAACGACTCAACAGTGAGCCACTTGGCACTGAGATCAGAGCACACCAGATCGATTAAGGTTTCACTTGTGTTAGTGAAATGCGTAGGCGAAGTGACTTGCTGCCTGAGACCCAAGTAAGAAATAGTGTCACAATTTTTTTTTGTTGCATTGTTCAGCGTTAAAATATTTACATTAAAATCTCCCATCAGTATACAATGGTCTATGTCACCAAGGGCAGCAACCGACCCAGTGATGGCGTCAAGAAATATCTCCAAGTCTAACCACGGTGGTCTATATGCTGTGCCAATTGCAATTTTTTTCCCATTCACAGACAATAATAACCACATTTGCTCGACCATGTCATACCTAGGATCTATTGGTGCACTCCAGTTACGTGCGACAAGGCCCCGTTTGAGATAAAAACCTACCCCTCCCCCGCGGCCCGAGCGTACGTTGCGCGGGCGTGGAGTGTGGCGCAGTCGATAGCCGGGCACGGCTGGCGCGCGTCACTCCTCACCTGGTCGCAGCCAAGTTTCATTAACAGCCATTATGTCTATATTGTGCCTGTTAAAAAATGCTATAAAGTCATCATGATTTGTGCCTAAGGAACCGGCATTGTAAAGAGCCAAAACCAAGTTTTTTATTTTAATCATTACTAAATATGCTATTCTTACGGAATCTCAATTCAAATAGTGCACAAATCACATAAATCATTTTTTTTACAATATATTTACTCAATATAAGATGATGATGAGTATTATGTGTATAAGATACTGTATATATGTAAATAATAAATCTGTAAATATAAAATTTATTACATATGCGAGTTAAATTAATATTTAAAATACGTCTGAAAACAATTAACAACATCGAAGTGTAAATAAAATTATTATGCATATTCAATACTGCTATAAGGTAAATACTAAAGTACAAGACATAAGAAATAAATTCATTAATATATTTAAAAGAATATGATACTAAAATACGAGTATGCTTCTAAGATAACTTAACTATTATAAGAGAACTAGCAAACCTGTGAACCAAATGTTCACCAAAAAAAAAGTATTTAATTAATTGAGAACTTCGGAGATTTTGTGTGGTTTCGTTTGAAATAGAAATCACGTGATTTCTCGAAAACCGGAAGTGCTACGTTACTCACATCCGGTTTGTAGTCTTATCAGACTATTCTTAACTTATAACTTAAACATTCTCTATATCTATCTCTTACGGTTTGGCCGCTGAAACAGCACCACGGACGGACGGGCGGACGGACGGACGGACGGACGGACGGACGGACTTGTCTAATAGATAAGAGATGAGTTTTTAGCGCAACCACGAGACTAGCGCTATGTAACAGCAAAAAAACAAATGAAAACATGAAAATAAATTCCAAACAAACATTATTTAAAAAATCTTAGAGATATCTTTTTCTGTACGAATAAGCACAACACTGTTGCCATCTCCCTTGCGAGCCAAAACTCGACCGCCGCTAGTCCAGACGTATTTCCAATTGTTCTCCTTAGCTGCGCGGCGTGAGAGGAAAAACAGTTGCCGAATACAACGACTGAACCGCTCGTTGACATAAACATTTCTCGGCTTCTTGGAAACATCAGTAGCTTCGGTACTATTATTTTGGCAATCAGGAGCATCGACACCTTCAGTGTTAATGTTGTGGTGTATGCGAGCGGCGCGCAGCGCGCACAGAACGCGCGCCGTCCGCCGAGCGAATCGCACGACACTAAGACGCGGCCGCTGCTCACCGGGCTCGTCATCGCTCCTCTCTATTATATTGCGACGCACCGAGCCTACACGCTCCATGTGTACTACATCGTGTTCATCAAACGGCACACCCAATTTTGTAGAGAGTTCCATGACCAGACTATGTAAAATTTCGCCCTTTTTCTCCGGAATACCGGAAACTTCGATGTCATTGGCGAGGAGCTCCTGCTCTCTATCGTTCAATTGAGACTGAAGATTAGTAATTGTTTCCTCGATTACGCTCAAGTTAGGGGTTTTCATTTGTTCGCATTTTGTTTCAAGAACCGACACCCTATTCTCAATATCGCCGATCTTCGAATCGAATGAGTTTAATACAGCTTTAATCTTGGAAACTTCGAGACGGCACTCGCGTATTTCCTCCCTAATAGTTTTAAGTTCACTGCGAAATGAGCGAATCTCCAGCGCGAAGTCAAGCTTCAGATCTTCGGTGGTGTTAGAGGCTGGACCATCCAAACAAACTGGACCAGGAGGTGCAACATAATCCGCAGCCACTCCTTTGACCGGCGTCGACGTGTTGTCCACCCTGGGGACCATTACTTTGCATCCAGGGCATGTCCAGTTATCCTTCACCGATGCGGTATTGGATATGGCCACACAAGCCTTATGGAATGATGAATTACATTTACAACAACGAACAGATTCAGATAGAGATAGAAATTTGCCACAGGCAGCGCATTTAACCATGTTTTAATATTTATAATGTTTATTTATTGAACTGAATTGAAGCGCGCCACACAGCAGCAGGACACCGCACTACAGCAGTTCAACGCAAGGCAGCCAACAGCCGACACCAAGATCAAGTACAAAGCAACGCAAATTATTTCGCTACATAAATTTCACATGTGCAGACAGATGGCGCCACCAACAAGTCTCTTTATTATTTTTCGTGCCCTTCAGTTTCAGTTCAACAAAAACCAACACAGTGCACACTCGCTTTGAATAGGGTCTGTCCGTGCAATTAATAACAACCGAATAGCACCAGCGCGTAGGAATTTAAACATAAATTCAATTATTATGAAATATGAGGTAGATGCAAACGATTTTTGATAACTGAATTTTTAATTAACACTTAATAGCTTTACTTTGCTATTGATACACTTGATAACAGTACACAGCACTACGCACTATTGTATCGAACTTTGGGAACTATACTCAATTAATATAAGCAACTTTATGATTTTTAATTGTACAATGATATTTTTTACGACTGAGCTTGCCGATAACCAGCTGTCAAAAAAATTGTTGTAGTTATTTTATAATATTTTAACCTTAATTTAATAGGTTTATTGCGCTATAAAAGATTTTAAATGTTTTTTACTAATGTTTGAATTTAAATCGTGTATAAGAAAGGCTTTGTCGAAGGTCCAAGTAAGCAGCACCGCAACAACCTTGCCATATTTGCAGTGTGACTAAGTGCTTAGTCAAGCATAGATAGTCACATTAAAAAAATGTTGTCTAATCAGCTATTAATATTTGAAAAATGCCAGCAGTGTAATGAACAAGAGAACTAATTATATCACAAGTTAAGACAAGAAAACGTTATCACGTTTACTATTTCCATTTCTATGACTCATCGGTATTTCCTAAAAGACTAAGAATTTACTCTGACTCATTATAGATTATTTTAAATGCTTTAAGAGTAATAACAGAACTCTTTTAGCTTAGCCTCTGATGCCAGATATTCGTTCGTTTCACAGAATGTGAGATTTTACAGCTTGTGCCAAATACATAAAATTAAATTTAAACGTGCTTCTTCAGCCAGGATATTGTTGGCTAATTAAGAACCGTTTCCTTTTACGCTTTACGACTTTTCAGCATTTATAATCAGGAGACACACAATGCATGCTGTGATGCGATCATTTAGTTATGACAATATGAACAACAAAACTAATGAACGGCTAGATTCAAAACGGTATCAAGTAAAACGTCTAATGAATCAGATTCTTTTTTCCCCTTAATTAATTTTCATCATCAAACATTCTGTGGAGTTCCATCGACTTACCTAGCAGGCACTATGGGTGCGGTGGAAGGCTGATTGGTAGCGGGATCAGCGGCGCGTGCCACGACCAAACGCACGCGAGACCCCGACGCGCGCAACACACCGGCCACCTGTTCCGAGCCCATCTCCATCAAACTGACCTGCCAACGACACCATCATCGTCATCATTATCGATCAACAACCTCCGTGGCCGAGTGGTATCTACGACGGCTTTCAACGTGTCGACTACTCAGAGGTACCGTGTTCGAATCCCAGAGGAGACAGGTGTTGGCGTAAGTGCGGAATGGACACATTGCCCCCACTTCAGTTTAATGTTCCCATTTGTCTAGTGGCAATCCCCATGGGGGCGACTGGGTATGAACTATAAACGTTCAGTTTTTTTATTCCCATTTGCCTCCGATGGCAATTGATGTAGGGGTGACTGGGAATAAACGGATGTTTATATTATTAAGTGATGGACGTTTATATGTATTTCTATATTAATATACTTATATATAGATAAATATATATAAATCAGTATTATGTATTCTATCCGTTACCTTAGTACCACACCTTTTATAACATAAGCCTTACAGTGCTTACTTTGGGGCTAGGCTAATTGGTGTGTGTTGGAAATATTATTATTTATTATTTTATTTACATCAATCAGCCTGTGAGGCCCACTACGAAATTTAATCTATCGTGCTTTTCACCCATCTGCACGACGAAGTTTGGTAATAAATGCGCTAAAATTTGCGCTACAAAATTTAATTTAGTTCTTTTGTAGTAAATTATTTTTTTTATATTATATACCTACATATATACATTTTGACATACATAAAAGAGGTCGTGGAAGACGATAATTTGTATGTTAAGTATAACATACGCTAAAAATGAAACAGATACACAATACTATAAATAAAGAAGGAGTAAAAATACAATAGAACTGGCAGGGCAATATTGCAGTTGATATCACACACTCAGCGATTTCTGGAAATCTATCAAAGAAACATCAGCCAGACCAGTGTATTTGGTTATAAGACTAACTATTATACTGCATTATTGCATAGTTTGTGTGGCTTGCACGAAATATTACCTGCCACTTATATCAGTGAAAAAATTTGGATGTTTAGAAACCCTTTTATACATAGGATGTGTTGGTATGATATGATCAGTGTCCAGATGCAAAGATAAGTGACTCATCAGAGAATAAACTACACTAAGCAAACTCATACAATAAGTCTGCATGAAGCATAATTTCCTTTAGCCAGTGGAGCTTTGGTAACCTTGATCGCTGCAGGAACATAACACCATTTGATTTTTTTAACTACACTTATTGAAACAGTTACACCTTCTCAAAGAAAGTAATGTCTTTATCAAAAACCAAACTCACATCTCCTATTTGTAATATGTGATCTCCTGATTTAAGGCGGCCATCTCGATCTGCGACACCACCAGCGAGTATAGTTTTAACTATAACACCACTTGTTCTTGCACCAATAATACCTTAAAAAAAAATACACTTCCAAATATTTTATTTGAAACTCGTTAAAGGTTAACTGATTAAAAGTTTTCTTTACCAAAGCCAAGTCCAGTGCCATCATTGACAAGGTTAATGATTTCAACTTGAGCCCAATCACCAGCAACAATATTGTGTGATGTAGAAGCTAATGAATCATCGTTTCGTGATAAATCTAGAACCCCACGACTCTGAAAAAGAATATAATGGAATGCAATTGTAATATCATCATCATCATCATCATATCAGCCGTATGACGCCCACTGCTGGACATAGGCCTCCCCCAAGGATCTCCACAACGATCGGTCCTGCGCTGCCCGCATCCAGCGTTTTCCCGCGACCTTCACCAGATCGTCGGTCCACCTCGTAGCGGGTCTTCCTACTGAGCGTCGTCCGGCACGCGGTCGCCATTCGAGAACCTTTCCGCCCCAACGGCCATCGGTAATATAAGAGATATGAACTAAATTGTTCATTACTTTCTTACATAATTATTGGCTTATCATATGGTTTCATTTAAATTTAAGAAGTTGTTGTAGAACATTAAAAACCAGATACCAAATTTCTAGATTTCTTCATTTTTGACAGCTCATTATCATAATCATATTACATCATCAAAGTTTCTATAAAAACTAAGCAGCACCCTAAGGGTGCCCTAGGTAAGAACAAACTGCCTCCTTCCATACAAAATTTAACATTGATACAATTACAAATCTGTCAGTGCTTATTTGTGCTTGAGCCTTTGTTCAGTTGTTTTATTTTAGATGTGTTTAAAGATTACTTTTTATATTTTCAAATCTTGTCAATAGCACCCATTTCATCTTTTATCAGCCTCATTACTATTGCTTTACATAATTTACATTGACTATACTGGGAAATAAACCTGTCTCAAAAGTGGCACCAGGTTGACCTCAAGTAGGAAGCAACTAAAAGAGCAGTCTTGTTAAGTCAGAGTCTCATTACAGTGGACTGTCGAAAAAAATGTAAATTCTTAGAATTTTGTTTAACTTTGGTCATTAAGCCTATCATTATATAGAAATAATAAAAAAGTAATTTGGTAATAAGTACCTGCTTAGGAGACATATTAGAATCCACAGAGGCATTATCTAATCCAATCATGCGTTCAATATCTGAAGTAGAGCCAAATTCCAGGCTTTGTGGTGGTGATACTTGGGGAACACGTTGCTCTTCTTCTCCTTCATTACCACCATACAGATTTCTAGCTTGCAATGCTAAGTCACCTGAAAAAATTATGAATATTATTGATAAATTTATCAGAATATACTCATTTTTATTTATGAATATAAAACATTCATAAGACACTATTATAACTTATAGCTTTCCACCATTGTTGTCTATACAAGACAGACAAAATTCTTAAACTGATTTTCGAAGTTAGTGGTTAAGTAAAAAGTTCAAAAATTACTGTATTTTCATATTTCAAGGTAATCGAGTTAACATTAACTGTAGTAAAAATCCAATTTGTTTAAAATACCACAATACAGTAATGAAAAAGATAGTCAAACTTTAATAACTTCATCCCAGAAACCTCTCTGCACAGCCTAAAATTCCAGTTTTGAATAATTACTAATTTAGATTGAATTTTAAGACATGTTATTGAGACTACACCACCCTTCTTAAAAAAATTTAAGTGCTGTCCCCCCAGGTTTCTTTCAATTGAATTTCCATCTGGCTCTTTGCCAGCTGCTGCCACAGCATTATTACTCTGCTCGCTTGGCTTTCTCTTTGTTTTGGAAATTCCGCCAAATCAAAATAACATATAAAATTTCTCAAGTCCTACACACCGTTTCTGTCACACCACCCCAACTCAAAGCCTTTTGAGTTTACACAAATTTTATACAATGAACATTAAGGTCTATTTTTAATTTTTTATAATGTATTTTTAACCTACTAAAATGAACATAAATGTAAATCAAAATGGATTGATTACCTGCAGGTGTAATATCAAAATCACTTGGAAGTATAGAAGGATGGTGGGCTACCTGAGTAGCTAACATTCCCACAGAATCGTGAAGTGTGGCTATACTCTTCAAAATGGGACTTTCAAGCAAGTTGATGAGCATATTTAAATCATCACTTGTAGCTGCCTAGAAATGAATTGAGTATTTATTAATATTGTCTGTTAATCAACTGTCTTATATTTAATGTAATTTAGCAAGTAAAATAAATAAATAAAAGAATCATACAAAACTACAAGCAAAAAGACTTTATAATTTATTTTGTTATTATACCTTCAGCTTCGGATCATCGCTTTGGTCGACAGCAGCTTTAACGCTCTCCAGTTGTTGTAATGCATTAGATATGTTTACTCCGAGGTGCATTCTAAAATGAATTAAATGACATTAGAAAAATAACTCAGTAAATTCTTCTTCATTAATATATTCGCAGTACAAGTAACGCACGTAATTTTAGGTAAACACAGAAGCTTTAATGTTTGTACTTTGTAATAAAATTTACGATTTTACGTTTCAATTAAACAAAAACCAAAAAACACTGTTGTAAATAAAATTTTCTTGTTTTCATTAATTTCTTGCTCTTGCACCACACCACAGAATACAGGGTTTTTTTTTCTATTTTGGTTTTACGGCACTGGGTTCTAGCCCTTTTCTGCCGGACCAGGAAGGTTTTCCTTTCTTCGTTCAAAGTTTTCCCCATTCTTCTGTGTTGATAAATTTTATAACGTTATATTTGAATTATTTAAATATTTAACAAGCGGTTTAAAACTTAATGTATTATTGAGCAGTTTAGGTAGAATATTGTCATCACTAATATCACTTGATAAAACGTTATTCAAGCTGTCAATGTCACTTAGTTCACTGACCAGTAAAAGTCTGTTTAATTTAAAATCTTGATGACGGCATTTCAGAATCAGATGATTCAAGTCTGCTCCTTCCTCTTCGCAGAATATGCATTTGGAATCTCTGGCAATTCGGATCTTGTGTAGATGAGCAGGAATTTTACAGTGACCAAATCTCATGCGGCAGGTGGTGGTAATAAAGTTGCGGTTTAAATTTCCTTTAAGTTGCTTAGGATGATACCACGGATGGGCGGGCAATGTCTTCTGTATGTCGTGGTACCATTTCCCTTTCTCTGAAGCAACATGATGCCAATAATTGGACCACAACAGTTTGTGGGACTCAGTTAAATAAGTGTTAAAGTCGGTGTACGGTACTCTGCAAAGAACAATGCCCACTGCCCATACATTCGAAAACCTGTCACTTCGGTTTTTTCTTTATGGATGTATATTGACTGTTGAGGTTGTTAACTAATTATTACAATCTTCTGAAATAATGTTGCTAATTTGGTTTGATTTGGCAATGAGGAATAGAAGTTATAACGAAAACTAATTCTGAGGTTATTCAACTGCTGAAGATGTCATTTACTTACTCTGTGGTTACGAGATTGATTATAGATTATCTAATGCCGGAACTTCACTTGGCTATTTGTAAACTTGACAACAGTCTGTCCTTATCATGTTTTAAGAAAAGAAAAGGACAGACTGAAGTCAAGTTTACATGAATAGCCAAGTGAAGTGCCAGCATAAGATTATTCATTTGTGTGCTGTCACAGCTGTGGTGTCTTAGCCCAGCTAGGTATTTATTTCAATTCGCTTGTTTTGTTTGATTGAAGCTTGATCTGAGGATTGAAGAAAAAAGGATTAATATCATAACATGTATCATGCTGAGGTGTCATCCTTATAATATTGTCTTTGGAATTAAACAAGTTTTTTTTTATATTTAATCAATAATTCAGTTTCAATTATTTTATTGAAATAGTAGGTACTTAATGTCTTAGTTTCTGCAAGCGAATGAATAAATGATAATCTTGACCTTTACCTAATTATATCTATAGACATCTAAGACATTTAACTATGTATTATTTAAATCTCTGGTAGACAAGTATATAAGTAGGTAATAATCTAAAATAAAATTACAATACCTTCCATTAATTGAGATGATTGGTACTATGAGCAGCTGTCATTATTGCTGACATTTTTTCGGAACGAATTTCCTTCTCATGTAGTCAGCCGAAGAGATGATGGAGTCCTAACTATTTCGGTCATGTTTCACTAAGAAAATGGCCAGTCTTTGTTAAGAACGGAAAGAAACTTTAAATTAAAGCCATGCCTTTTAAGTATTACATTACCATTTAAATACGGTATTTACCGCATGGCTGGCAACATTGGAAAGGAGAGTGCGAATCTACATTTAAGCTGCGTTCATAATTATGTCATTTTACTTTGATACAATACTCTTCCCTAATGGATGCGTTCGTGTGTTATTTTTGAAAAAATTGGATTGTAGTTTTTGTTGATATTTTGATTTCGTAATAAGCGAATAATTAACTTTTTTTTGAGGTATGTCACATAATTATACATGCAAATTTTTTTTACAGATTTGACAGGTCACAAATGGGCATCCTTCTTTGAGTATGATCTTCATCAGGTTTGTTATGGGTAACGTTATCTACAACCTCGTTACCAGTTATGCCTTGGTGTGATGGTACCCACAGAAACTTGATCATCTTCCCTTTGTTTTGCAATATGTGTAATTGATTTCTTATATAAAAAATTAAGTAATTTAAATTATGCCTAAATACGTTATTTCCTAAACTAGACAAAACACTTTGAGAGTCCGTTATTATGATAAAGTCTATATTATTTACATATTCTATGTACAATAATGCTCTATATATTGCATAACATTCTGCAGTAAATATGCTGCAGTTAGAATCTAACTTGAAACATTTAGTAAGTTTAACTTGGGGGTCATAGAAAGCAGAAGTTACAGTGTCTGTAGTTTTAGATCCATCTGTATAAATCTGGGATGGTAGCTTTTCAAATAGCTGTAATAGATCATTTTGTTCAAATATCCTTTGAGGAATTATATTTACATCTATTAACTCCTTAACATTAAATTTGTACAAAGGATGAGGTTTGGAAGAAAATATATTTACAGTTCTTTGTTTAACATGAAGGATAATTCTTTACAACTCAGGAAATTGACCTGTTGCTAATTGATTTGCTTCAACATATTGACCAATAATTGGAAGATGTTCCTGGGGTAAGATTCTATCAAGTATAGCATTGTTTTCTGTTGCTTTTAATTTGAGACTGAACTTTTCTGCAATTTTTAGCCTATGTAGAGCCAGTGGCGGAATACCAGATTCAACTTCCATTGAATTTATAGGCGTGGAACACATTGCCCCTGTGATGATTCGTAATGCCTGATTTTGAAGTATGTCCAGTCTTCTCAGTTTTGTACAATTTGTATTTAAATATGCAAGGCAACTGTAGTCAAAATGACTACGTACAATACTTTTATAAAGCATAGAAAGTGTATGTGGATCTGCACCCCAGTGTACACCAGCCAAACAACGCATAACATTTAAGCCTTTTGTTGCATTTTTTGAAATGTATGTTATGTGGCTTTCAAATGTGAGTTTTTGATCTAAAAACACTCCAAGAAATTTCTTTTCAGTTAGCCAAGGAACATTAAGATTGTTATATTTAACATGAATATTACAAATATTGGCCTTTTTACTAAATAACATGGCACCACTTTTGCTAGCATTAATTTTTAATCTAAGTTTGTCCTCATAAAAGTTCTTAATCTGCACAAGCCCTATATTTAAATTATTAACAGCTATATTTACATTGTGATCCTTAGTATATAATACAATATCATCTGCAAATTGTAAAAACTTTAAATTTCTGTGTATTAGGTACTGCGTAATTTGACTAGTATAAATATTATATAGCAAAGGGGAAATACAGGCACCTTGCATTGTACCTTTATATACAAAATTTGGCCCATGAAGTAAATTATTAAATCTAACAAACATTTTCCTATTATATGAAAACTTAAATATCCATTTACATATATTTACAGGGAAACCTAATTCTAACAAGATATTTACAAGTACTACAGGATCAACATTATCAAATGCACCCTGGATGTCCAAGAATACACATGCAGTATTGGAATGGCTGAAAAACGAATTCTTGATATCTACTATTGAAGAAATGAAATTATATGTAGCACTATGGCCCTTTCGAAAGCCAGATTGTTGGTCAGGTATAATATTATTATATTCTACATACCACTCTAATCTTACTTTCAGCATGTACTCAAATATTTTTCCAATACAAGATGAGAGTGCTATAGGCCTATATGAATTATAATCATGCATTGGTTTGTCTGGTTTAAGTATTGGTATGATGCATTGTGTCTTCCAGGACTCAGGGATTTGTAAGTTACTCCATAAGAAATTATATATTTTAAGTAAAACTTCTTGTGCATTAGGATGCATATTTTTCAACACCTCATATGTAATTTTATCCAAACCTGGACTAGTATTACTCCTACTTGATAGAGCACTTTGTAACTCCTTCCATGAGAATGGTTCAGTTAAAAATGAGTTGAAATTATTATTATTTTCATTACTAAATAATGTATTTAAAATATCTTGTTCATTTTCTAATGTAGCTACTGGTGCATATTTTCCTATGAATTGTGGTATCCATTCATCAGATCTAAATTTACTGTCAGAACAAATATGTTTGAATCTTTTTATATTTTTCCAAATAATGCTAGCTGGTGTATATCTATTGAATGATTCACATAGCTTATGCCAACTAGTTTTCTTTTTGTCACGGAGTAACAGTTTTTTCTGTGCATCAACTTTTTTATAGTTAATGTAACTTTCAAGCGAACCTTCTGATCTGTATTTGTAGAATGCACTTCTACTGCGTTTAACTGCTTCCAAACACTCGCTATCCCACCATGGAACAGGTTTTCTAGTAGTGTGATGAGAGTCTTTTTTATATTTTGGTATACATATTGTCATGCATTCTAACAATTTATTATAAAACATGTTGTAAGTGTCTAAAGGATCATTAAATTGAAGTATAGTAAATTCTTTTTCTGTTACAGATTTAAAACGGGACCAGTCTGCCCTGTGGTATAAAAACCGATCACATGGAGTACCTATAACATATTTCTCAAAGGACAGTTGTATCTTGGTGATGGTAGGAAAGTGATAACTACCCATGGGATCGTGATGTACTGTCCAGTCACAGAAGGGTGCTAGAGTAGGGCTTATACATGTTATATCAATGGCTGATTGATGATGGTGGACAGATCCAATAGTAGTGGGAGAGCCAGTATTTAAAATACACAAATCAAATTCATCTAATAGATTATAAATCTGATTTCCTCTAGAAGAGGTTGATCTACAACCAAAAGCTATATGATGAGCGTTTAGATCACCTGCTAGCATTAATGGTTTTGGAACATATTTTAAAATATTTTTTAAAGCATTGACCCGAAAATTATTGTTTTTTCCTGATGGTGGAGTGTATGCAGTCAAGATAGTTAAGGAACCCAGAATTGTTACTATATTAACAGCAGTGCTTTGTATAAAGTCATAGTAAGGTGTGGATATTACATTGTACTTAAAGGTATCCCTTATTAGTATAGCCACTCCACCATGACCATCAGGACCATTTTGAGATATGAAATTGTAGTTATGAATTTTGAAATTGTTTCTGTCTCTCAACCAAGTCTCATT